CAAAAATTATTTAAAAAAAAAAACGATTATTGTAAAGTTACGATTACGTAACACGAAAACAAGAGTAAAGTATCCTCATGAAATTTATTTCTTCGTCAACTTTGATATTAAAAGATCATTCACGACTTTATCGTTCAAAAAATAATGTTATTACATAACAACTAAGAATACGGAATAAAAATCGGATATTCTCAGAAGGAAGCAAAAACTTGTTAACAATTTTTATCATGATTCAATGATCTTAGTTATGTACATCTACTGAATGAAGGATGTCTTGTGTAATTATTGTAAGCAATGCCATTACCGCTGTATTTTTTAATAATTTAAATGTTCAAACAACGTCACAATCTCGATTGAAGGATTTTTGTGCAAGGTTTTACGTAACAGAGTTAAAAATAATTACATGCTTACTCAGATGAATAGTTAGAAGAGAGTTAAACATAAAGTAATGTTATTACGTTATGTGTGCATCGAGTTTTAATTACGCTTTTTAATTACAGCCCAATTTCTTCATACCTCACGATAGCTAACCTCTGGATAAAAATATAAAAAAAAATATATTTTATCTTTTAAATAAAGTTAGTGAGAACTTATCTAAAGATGAAAAAATTGTACATTCATCAGCGTAGTTTGAAGTGTGTTTAGCGTTAGTTACGCAAACTGAGTCAGTCAATACAATTATATGTTCTCATATTAATTGTCACTCAATATAATAATCGGCTGTTCTCGACAAGATTCACTCTTAATATTCGGTTTTATGATAATCAGATTTTTTCATAATAATTCATCGTAATTAGTTTTATTTCAACTGCAAATTAGCAAATAAATCGGCAGATCAGCAAACAAAACAAGGACAGACAAAATAACAAGTCACGAGTAAAGTGAACCGAGAGCAACATTCAACAAAATAAGTTTTTGCGCTTACTTCGTTGTTATCTCTCTTTTTTTTTCACGTTCAATAAAAACAATTTGTACCACACAGATTAAATTGGTAAAATTCTGCGACAAAATTATGCGAGAGCTTGATAATACATCATCAGTGAAGTAACTTCCTTTCTTTGTTCGTCCTCTTTGTGTTGCTGCGTGCGATACAATGTGAATACGATCAGACGTCGTGCAAAACTATATTGCGCGTGTTGGAATTATTCAATGATCATAACTCTCGTTAAATCACAAATGAGAAAAAATTATTATTATTCAAATAATAAAACCGATGTCTGTCAACCAACTAAAACAGACAATTTAAATGCATCGGGAGATACGTAATTATCTCACACATAAAATCCGTTACGAAACAATATAATAAGCGCGTTGCAGACTCTTCTATTCAAAAAATTTATCACGTAAAATCGTTTGACATCGAGTTGCAAGTCGATCTCTTTTTTTTTTGTTTTTTTCCACCACTAACCTAGACCATAGACTCTTTGGTTTTCTCCTTCATCGTGTGTATATGTTTATGCTAAAAATTAAACTGCCACCTCTTTACTTGCCGCACCAGAGTCGCCCGCTACACACACACACTTATACAAAAATTCTGCTTTATGTGATATCACACTGAGAGTTCTGGCAGTGTTGTATGCACACGCGCTGCAAACCTCTTGCCTCGTATATGTGTGAGGCAAGAGGGAGAACATACAGTTGTGCGCAGCTAATGTTATTTCCGAATCAGTCTACTGTCGCTGCTAGCAGCGCACGAGAGCCTCCTGTAACTATATCAAACATCTTTACTCAACTTTGCTCGGTTTTGTTTTACATTGTGTGTCAAATTTGCCCGGTAAATGTTACATTACACCATTTAAACATTCCGATTAAATAGTTCGTTGATATCGATAAGATAAGATCTTCATGTAATACATTTTAATGACGATCTCACCACTCACGGCGTGTCAAATCTCACAAGTGACAAACGGAGTGAAACCGGAGCAAAATACGTGAGAAAATTTGTAAGTATACGTCCCTATACTCTCCGCGCACAGTAGAGATGAAAAAATAAATGCTAAATACACAAAAATATCGTTTTCTTTTTTGTGATGATAAACAATAACGTACGATCGCAAGCACTTGCACGGCTTTTAACAACACATTGTCGTTTACACGACAAGTTTTTGTATAATTACAATAGCAATACAAAAATTATAACAATAATGATAAAAAATTGTGTAGCAACTTGTGTGTTATTAAATATAAAACTTGACAAACACAATATATGTATTAACATATAACATACATATAATAAAATAATAATAATATGTACAATAACATATATAGTAATTTTCAATTGTTATTTTATATAGTAATTTTATTTAAATAATATCTATTACTAACGAAAAAAACTTATGTCTTACTAGATATACATAAGCATCTTACACAATAAGTGTTTTTTTTGCTAATTAAGTTTTTGTCAATTAAGTTTTTTGTTACGCGCGTTAGATGAGAATTTATATTACAAGAAAAAAAACTAGAATACATTATGTTTTTAGAAGGAGATAAAAAATGTGAATATAAATTAACATTCAAATTACGTACCGGAACTTTTATTTCTTATCACAACACGCGTATATAATGATGATTAACTCTGCGTGCATGAACTCCAAACGCCTCCTAGTCAAACAGAATACATCCGTGAGACCCACGCGACTTTAAAATCGAATATCTTCGCGAAAACTGGATATTTTTTTCAATTTTTTTGAATCAAAATTTTTTCTGCGTTAATAAAAAAAAAATTGAAAACATTTCTTATATTTTCGAAGATATAAGCGTTAAAAAAACATTAATTTTTATTAAAAACACCGGTTTGTGAAATTTTTGAACTGGTCTAGGAGATTCTTCCGCGAAGAATTATAATATCAGTTTTTAGAGTCAAAACCAACTTACGTACACACATGATAAACAAGTAACACTCTCACGTCTCTCGAGACACGTAAAACCATTAAATGCTGACGATTTAAAAGAAGATATCAAATCAAAGAACGTGGAACGAATGCGAAAATGTGATATTTAAAAACATTGTAATTCGTAGTTTAAGTTCACAAAATGTTGCGCATTATGTCGAAAGCGTGGTGTGTAAATAAATGTCGATAGCAGTCCGTGGCTAATATATACACGTATATATTATAGATTCTCGACGAAAAAATACTAAATTAGCGAGTTTAGGTTTATTCCGAGCGTTAACAAATAAATTGGACAAGATTGTAAAAATAATGCGGCGAGTTTGTCACAAATCTCTAAAAGAAAAATTTAAATTTATTTGTATAATTTATACTGAAACAAAAAAAAAATATATATATATATACATTTGTTTCGCATAATATACGTTTCGCAGTTTAAGGTTTCAAGAGCTTTATTTTAAGGTCTAGAAAAATATTTTTTATTTTACTTGACCGGTTTGGAATGCCATGACCAAGGATATCAAGATTCTTAACTTACCGCTTCGAACAACCTCATGTTCATTTACGAGTGCGACTAAAATCAGAATCTGCTTCGCGACTCTCGTAACCAAAAACATTTTTTTGCTATATCTCTCGAAATTTTTTAGTCGTTTTCCTTTTGTGTCTGCGCGATCTAAGTCGCGAGGAAATTTTTTCAGTTCCTTCGGTCGATACGTGACTCACGAGAGCCGACAATGAAACGACTTATGACGGACAACGAAGCGCCAGTTGGCTTCGATGTGAACCGCACGATCGCGCTTCCAGTGTGATTCCCATGTAATGGGAACACAACAAACTGTGAGAAAGTAGAAAAGTACTTTATGCGCATTGTTTTTTTTTTTTTTTCGTAATTGCACGTCGTGTAATTGAAACATGTTGTATTAGCGCGTATTCACACATCGCGCGAGAGATTTGTCAAAGAGTTGTTAACGAAATGTTAATTGGATCTTCAAGAGAAAGACAATTTGCGCTACGTTCTACTATTGTAGCGCATGTAACAACATTTGTATACGTGTTCTCGCGAAGGATGCGATTCTTATAGAATTTTAATTGGGCTCTTTCATTATTATTCATTACTTGACCTTTAATTAAGAATAAGAAATGCTGTACGTATTGTTAAAAGAAAAGCTTTTAAAAACTCAACTCGCTTACCTTGACCTTTCTTAAACTGATTGATCTTTAGAATTCACAGGCTATATAGAGCCAGTGCAGGATGTTGTGCATTTAAATAAATGTGCTCGGATATGTTTCAAAACGTTTCGACTATAATTTAAGTCCTTATCAATTGAATCTGTTACAATAATTATGAACACAATCAGTAAATAATTTGAAATACATAGATGTCATTATACATATAAACAATTTGCATATCTTAGGTTAATTTTACAATAAATAATATCAAAAATCAAATAAATATACATTGAGTATCTTGAACAAGACATACTTGATCGATACTGAGTCAAGAACAAACGATCGAATTCAAAGAGTAACACTACCCCCTCTGTATATTAAATTTGTACTTTGTCAAGTATGGGAATGTATGTGTCATGTAAAGATTCAGTGTCTCTCATCAAATTCAGACCTTTCTCCTGTTTTTTAATGTGTAACATTTCAGAGGTTAGACATTTATAATAGTTCTGTTCTATGTCTAGTATTTTAACTGAATTCCAGTCAAAATTATGCCCCGTCTCGATACTATGTTTAGCTACTACAGAAGTGTCGATCTGTCCCTTCCTTATATAATTAATATGTTCTTTTATTTTGGTTGATAATTGTCTTTTAGTTTGACCTGAAGACAATTTATTTAAATGCACAACATCCTGCACTGGCTCTATATAGCCTTTGAATTCTAATATTTTATTTGGATTTTGTGAAAGAGCCTGTGAGATCACGTCTCATTATTTTGCTTATTTTGATTGATCTTTGTTATATTTTCGTGCATTGTGCTATTGTAATATCGCGACGTCAACGGTCGATCGAACATGCCTCTGAAGTTCAACGCGCTGCATAATATTTACATAATGACGCATGCGTAAAACAGCACCGAGCACAATGTTAGTTTCCTCCCGTTGTTGTTACTTTTACTACTTTCTTTAGCATTTTTGACCGAATTAAATCGCTTTTGATCAGTTTAGCAAAACGACCAGTCATATTCCCAGCAAACAATTTGGTTGTCAGATGTCGCGATTTTGTCGCCAACTGCCACACCAAATCCATATCCATCTGTGTCCTCAGTAGGATATGGTTTTGGTGAGTTTTGGTGACCATGTTGCGTTTTTTGTATCTGTGTGTTAACAAATTTGGCAGCACACAAAGCATGTTTCCGTATTGTAGCGTTTTTGCATACAGGTTTTGTTGCCAGATCTGCGCAGTCAGAAATTGTTTGCTGGATTGCTTTAATAATAATGATGTCATCAATCGCCCCGAGATCGACTGACCCGATTGAAAACATTAATTTGTGTAATTTCTTAGGCAATTAGAAGATAATTGTGTAAGTTATAACCATGTAATAAAGAAAACGATGTTTTTATGTAACATATTCTAAATAAATCACAATATTAATATATTTGTAAATATTTTGAAATAGTTTTAATATTTGTAAATATTTTTATTTTATACCGGAAATATTTCTATTTTATCAAATTTAATATATAAAAAAGTTTAAACACATACAAGAAGCATGGAACTTTTGCACATTTTGCACTAAATCAGCAGGTTTTGCAAAAATAATTTTTTATTAACACAAGTAACTTTCTATCGATTATCATCAATATTGATAAACATATTGTTATTCATTGTGTTTAGGCTCAATAGTAATACAAAGTTTTGTGCAGAATTAAACATACTTTTTCCGTGTACAATAAAAAATATAACACTAAAAAAAAAAACATACGCACATTTCTCTCTCTCTCTCTCTCTCTTACTCTCTCTTCAACGTATAATTTATCAAGTTACGTTTAAGATGTGCAAAGTAGACGCTTATCTTGTACATCACATATTTTTCAAAAGTATGTACATATAATACACATACTCAGAGGTTATATGTGTAGAATATTTCAGATATACTTATAAATATCGCGACTTTGTGTGTATCATAAAATATGTGCAATGTGTTGTTTCGAAAACACATGCTAAAAATAAAATTATAATCTTTATTACAAGGATTTATTTCTTCAAAGATTCGATGTTAAATTTGTTATATTTAAGTATGTATTATATATACATATTTCTAATTCATATTTCTTGAAAACAATAAAGTGTAAGTTAATATTCATGTAAATTTACTTAATACAAATTGAAATGTTTAATTTTGTTGTGTATTTTTCTTCAGATATCGTTCCTGGATAGATGCTTAGTAATTCGTCAAAGAAGAAAAAATAATAAAAGTCGCGGAATGAGATAATAAGTTGTTTCTAAACGCAGAAAAAATTCATTATGGAACTCACTCATCAAGATAATTACGTCGACAAATCGAGCGATTTAAAAATCGCAAACAGATGTTTTGATCATGACAATAGTCCTGTGCGACAAATGTCATATTTGTCGAGAAAAACAGCGGTGGATATCCAATTTACCGATTTGACGTATTCGGTGCCGAGTTCGCGAAAAGGTAAATAAATAAATTATTTTGGATTTTTTATCACGTGCGAGTGTTTTTAGATATTGATACGGTTGCTCAATATCTAAACTCGTTCTCGTGATAAAATAATTTTGCGTGTGTGACATTCCTCCCTTTCGTTTTTCTTCATTTCTGTCACTGATGAAGATTAATTACTGATTTACAACAGAAAAACAAAATATCGCGTTTATACAATATTATTCTCAATTTTTTGTAAAAAACACGAATCTTGAATTATCGATATCGAAACCGAGATATTATTAGAACAGCTGCGTTACGCCTCGCATTTCGTCGAAGTTTCGCGATATTTATTTTTGATCAATTGCGTGCGATTCTTTATAGCACATTAATGCAAACGATCGCAATAATATAATAACACATAGGTAGATTGCAATTGTTTAATATCCAATTTGTTGTTAAACTGCAATTATTATCGTTTAAATAATTTAAATACTTATTGACACGTATGCGCTAATATATCCATGACGTAAATACGCTATCAGAAAGTAAAATGTTTTGCGATTCCGATTCGTTTAATTTGAATGGCAAATGATGAGTGATCAAAACTCAAACCGACATGATAAATTGCAAAAATATAATCATAAAAATCACTATAATTTTTATATGACAAGAATAATACTTGTGTTATTGTCATCGGTAATTATTGAGTATAAGCGGTTATAGTTCAACGATCTTGACTTTGACATGTTTTCAAGTACATGTTCCTGAGTAACAATCGAAAGGTTTTAGCCGTCGCTCGCTCTTCAATAAAAAGTTATGATCTTAAAAAGTTGTATCGAGGTACGTATACTATTACGTATAACCTAACCTTACGTATACTATTTACGTATACTGTCTAAATACACTTAAATATGCATATTTTTATACATAGAGAATTTACAAAGAAAATATTACAAGTACGTTCAATTATTTATAGAACTTCAGAAAAAACTTCGATGTATTTAATAAACAAGAACGCGTGAGAACTCATAGGTATAAGCAACACTAAACAGTGAAGGTGGTAAATATGTAACCATTCAGAAAAAACATTCACGTACTATGTTTATGTTGTAAGCGTGTAGGCAGGAAGGGACTGCGCTTCCCCCTCGAGGAAAAATAGGAAACGACTTCTGATTACATGTCGCTTCATGTCGATAGTATGTACGTGGTTTTTAGCAACACTTAATCAGAAGTCGTTTCCTATTTTTCCTCAATGAGAGAGCAGGGGGAGAGGCGGAGCCCCCTACACGCTTACAACATGAAAATTACAACTCTTAATGGTTTGTAATGGTTATTTTTCTGATTATATTTTTTATAAATATTTTTTTAATAAAAAATAAGCGCGACGCCTAAAACTTCTTGAACACTCAGAAGAACTACTAAGGAGAGTGCCCCTTACAACATATGTCAAGGTCAAGGTCATCGGACCATAATCTTCTATACTCAATAATTACCTTGTCATCAATTAATCAAAGAAAAGAAATATGACACCTATACGTATCGAATTTATGAGGTTAAATTTTCATACGTATATATCTTATTACATATGACAAAATACATATCTTGTGCATAAGAATGTATGAAAAATAATCGCGAGATAAATTGATGTTTGTGTCAGAAACGCGCAACTAAACATTACTGGCACATATCATTAACAAAAGTGAAAAAATAAAAAAGTCGCTCATATGTAGCGCGATAATAAATTTTTTCCTGTAATTACGGTTTTGTGATCACAACACATTAGTTCGTTTTTTCAATGACAAGAAATGCAACACAAACCGAGAAAAGCAAAAGACTAAATAAGTTTAATAATAAGAATAACGAAGGTCATTATCGAGCTAAAAAAAATAAATAATTGAATATAATTAATAAAATATAATTAATTAAAACAAACGTACCGTTTAATGCCTTGGCATTACATGTAATTACTTTTATTTATATATATTCAATCATCTATTTTTCAGCTCGATATTAATCTTTGTTATTCTTGTTATTATTCACATAACGAGTGTTTTGAATTTACTATTAAGTTTAATAAATTAGGCTCATGTTTCATCACAAAAAAGAGTATCCAGACTAATAAATCAAAAAAAGATGCAAAGCAAGAAAGAAAATTAGCATATAGTAATTGCATCAAAGCGAAGAAACAAAATACATTTTAACATCAGGCAAATGCAAAAGTAGACGATTTTTATGAATTACGAATAAATAAAAGCTGATCAATAATCAAGTAAAAATGATCAACCATTTCCAAGAAAGCGAGATTCGCACGTAAACAAATAAATTAAGGAAGACAGAATTTATATAAATCACACACGCGTGTATGTGTCTTTTAAATTGTTGTTTGTTTAAAAAAGAACGCCCCAAATAATATTAAATATTAATAATATAATATAAATTATTAAATATTAATAATAAAATAATTAAATGTATCCTTAAATATCTCATAGAACGCCCAGTAAAAACACGGAGACCAAATCATTTAGTGTGATATATTACAGAAATGTGTTAATCTTGTTAAACAATCTTGCGCAAAATAGTTAAAAGGCCGATACGAGCAGTAAGATACAGGTTGGTCGTGTATAAATAATAGTCTTTATTCAAAAAGCACAAACGTTTCAGTCCACAAGTTTGGACCTTCTTCAGTGTAACAAAGTTTACATATAATGAGAAAACCAAAGAATAAGCGCAAAGTATACATCGTAGAAGAATTAAAAAATAACAAATTAATAAAACTCACTCAATTAAAAATACATATTAACTCTCTACATCACTACCAGACGAACCGAATGATGTCAATCGAACTTGACGATAAAATACAAATACTGTGTACTGACAAGCAAACATAACAACAGGCATATATATAGATATCCCTACTATTTGATCAGAAGATCAAAAGTTCACAATAAGTCGAAAAACATGTTTATAAAAGTAACAGTCTAAACATTTGATTTATACAATTCTAGAAAGGAGAAGTAAGGTTTTAGCTTGTCAGTATCCGACATTACATTTAACGGATTGTCCTGCAACTTGATGTGGAGCATTTCAGACACTGATCTCTTGAAAAAAAATTTTTCAGTATCTAAGATTTTAACATCATTCCAAATGAAGTCATGACCAGTCTCCAAACGATGCTCCGTGACCACAGAAACAACATCGGAATTTCTATTAATCTGATTTCTATGTTCACTAATTCTTGTTTTTAACTTGCGTTTCGTTTGTCCAACATAAGATACATTACAATTATTACAATTAATTTGATACACAACGTCTTTATTTTGATCATGAGTTAACTTGTCCTTTCCGACTTTAATGAATTTACTCAATTTATTCAAACTACGAAAAGCCAAAGAAATCTCTTTCGTTTTTTTAAAAAATCTTGAAATAGAACAAGATAATTCAGGAAGATAAGGAACAACAAAATATTTTCTAACAGCATCAAGATCATCAGAAACAAATTTATTGTCATTGTTTGAATTTAATCTGTTATTAATTAAAAACTTAATTCTATTCCTGATTATCTTAAAAATAAATTGTAGAGGATAGTTATTCATAAGAAGCACCTCAATCATAAATTTAAAATTTTTTTGCTGAAAACAGGGGTCAGACAAGAGCATAATTCTATCAACCATATTTAAAACTGTACCAATTTTTTGTGATTGCGGATGGGCAGAGTAAAAATTCAAATATCTGCACAAAAAAGTAAGTTTATGGTACCAATCAAACATTACTTTGCCATTAAAATTTAAAATCTTGCGCAAATTCTACGTAAAAGTTATGTTTCATTTAAAAAACCAATAATTAACGGAACAGAAAACAGAAAAAATAAAATTAATTTTATCATAAATCTTTGATAAATTCATAAAATAATATATATCATTACCATAATAACGAACAATTAAAACCAACATTGATATACCCAAAACCCTCTCACACAATCTAAAAATCAGATAATAAATCAAATAAAAATCCATAAATATAGAGGAAAACATCATACCCATAATTAAAGCTATATTAAAAACCACCAACTCAATTATCAACAAAACAATCAATATATACTTATAAAAAACTACCAACATAATTAAAGAAATAATCAAAATTATTAAAAAATAATAATCATAAAATATAGCTCAAAATACTAATTCCATATAAGCTTTATAGTTTAAAAAAAACAATAATTTTGTAAATTATAAATAAATAATTAAGTTTTAAAGCTAATCGAAAAAATAAATTATTACACCTTTAATCCCCAAAATTAATAGGAAAGAGAAAGACAAGGATAACTTACCCAGAATATGAGTGACGTTAAACGTGTTAGGAAATTGATCACAGCCACGTAGTCAACCACCGCGGCACGTGCTTCTGCAAGCAAAGAATAAAGATTTTCACTTTTTTATCCAACAACGGTTGCACACGTTGATCATTCAATATTCGTGTTTTCTGCAAGAAGAAAGAGAGCTCCTCTTCTTCGGTTAATCTTACGCTGTTTTATTCGCAACAACTGTAAGAAAATCAATTGTATATAGTTGTTTTTCAGTCGCACGCGCGATTTGCGATATGATACAATGTTTTCCGTTGTCGATTATCTTTTTTGTGGAAAATAATATTAACATTATAATATAACTTCGCGTCTTCCGTCAGAAATGATCAATCGCCGAAAGTGAAAGACGTCGTGAAGTTTCTCGCGCCCGATTATGATAAAGATTAACAAGGCGATTGTAATTCACAATACGTCTCGCTTTCTATGCGCAACGTTCTCTCGGTGTTTTTTTTCGTGTTTATTTTTTTATACGGATAAGTAACATTAAATTTAAAGTATTCTTCCCTAGAAAAAGTGCGTCAGTTTGCAAACACTACATCGAGATGTTACATGTCACACGTGAATTTTAAACAAACAAATAGTAGATAAAGCATCTCTCAAAGTAATAACAATTGTTGACATCAATTTTGAGATATGTAATAAAAAATATAATAAAAAATATAAACACTTGTATTATAATGATGTACTACAATGTGCGCAACCTATATGTAAAATTTTTTTCTCTCTTGTTAAATTGAATGTTACAGAGGACTATTTTTCAAACAGCTCGAGTTTATTATCTCTACTTGTTAAAATTAATAATATAAATTTAAAATTAATAATTTTCTAACATAACAAAAACGTACACTTTGAGCAAAAAACCTTTTTTGTTATGATGCGTGCCAAGTTTTGCAATTCAGATTATGTTTATTTTTGTCGCTTTGCAGATTTACGATGTAGTTTATAATAAAACATATACATATATATGTATATACACATATATACATATATGTGAGAGGTATTAATACGATATTTATTTTATACCGCGCGCACGAGTACAATACCGAGAACTTGATTAAACGTTATTTAATATAAAAACAAGAATTACAAGTATACATTACCAATTTCGTTTGAAAAAATTAATAAATAAAGAAAGTTAAACCGATTACTTGCGACACATATAGTCAAAGGTTTAATCAAATTTTTGTTGACTTAAAAATAAAATTTTTATTCTTTGAATAAAAAAAAAAAAAAAGCAACAACTGACTGCGAACATTTTGTTGACATTGCAATATTGTTTTTTTCAGTGCAGTTTCGGAGAATAGTTTCTTTGTGTAATTTCCGTAACGATTGAAGCATGACTTGTACATCAATTCCGCGTTAGAGGCATTGAAACGATGACGGGAACACTACAGAGCGCAGCTGTTCTTCCTTCGTATAGAATAAAGCGAGAGAATAACGTTAGAGAGACGGACGCTAATGCATTCCCATTTAAATGTCACGGCCGAACCGCAGAAAATAATCTATTTGAAAAAATATTCTGAATTACGCGTTTTGCAATTCACGGACAGCAACTACTAGCTTAACGCTTTCTCTAATCTTTAAAGCCGAACCACAAAGTTTATCGACCGGCAGGTCAAGTTTATCGGTCCAGCAATTGGTTTAGAAAATACCGATAATATCCGTCCTTGAATGAGTCAATCGGTTAATACGTTAAGAAACTTCTCTGTGTTAGACAATAAAACCACGTGAAGTGTCGTAAGAGTATTAAAACAAAAAATGAATACAATTATTCCTTTCAACAACATTTAACAAACGAAAAGTCTTGTCTAAGTCACAGTTGACGCACAAGGCTTGATTTCTTTGCAAATCCCTATTCTCTGGATAAAAATGTACAAACAATTATAAACTAATATATGAATATAAGGTCATGTAGAGCCGTTCGCAGGACGTTGTGCGGAAGATGTGAGTATGTATATATATATGTATATATAAAGGATCCCGAATTAAAAAATATGTATATATAAAAGATCCCCCCCCCTTAATTCGGGATCCTTTATATAAGAGATGCAAAATTAGCATCATATATGATTTAAAGAATTGTAATTTCTAAAAATTCACGTGAAAAATATTACACGTGAATACATATATATATGCATATATATGAATGCAGTTGTTTTTTCCTTTCCGCAGAGCGGAAGGGAATGAACACAATTTTCGTTTTATACAGATTTTTGAGTTATAGAGGTTCGAGTTATCGAGGTTTGACTGTATATAGTTTAAAAACTATAGAGCCCGAGAGTAATCTCTATTAATTACTGTTGTCAAAAAATTATACTTTATCTTTTAAATAAAGTTATCTAGAACTTATCAGAGAAGAAATGAAAAAATTGAACATAAGAGAAGTAAAATCTTTCGAATACTATCTTCTTCGATATGTCGGGAAAAACAAATGTCATTTTTACAATCAAAAATCTGTTTTTCGCCCAACGAAAACAGAGCGAGTTCAAGAAGATGTGCGATAAAATTAAAAGTGTCGCTTTTGTCACTTGAAAGCTTTTGCATCTTGTTTTATGTAAGCGTTGCGTGATAAGCGCGCCTTTGTTTTACTTCTTATGTACGAGACACAATTGTGACAAATTCTATCAAGCTTAAACAAACGTGACCGGTTTAATGTGCTATCAATATCTTAAATTCGAGCCTTGACACCAAAAAAAACCGATTGAGCAAAATGTCCGAAATATCATCTTCATTTGATATTTGATGCTTTCGCGGTGTGTAGTATTAACATACAAAGATGTTTTTTCGGGTTTGAACCGCGTTAGTGTCATTTTTATACCGACGTTTCGTGAACATTACAGCTCACTTCATCAGGGTTTGAAGAGCAGCCTGATACTGAGATATCATCTTCATGCTGTTGCCTTCATGCTCGTTCCCTTTATGCAACATCCTACCACTTTTTTTCTTGTCGTGAAAATTATCTTCTTCTCGACATCTTCATTTTTTCCAGACAGACGTTAACGTTTACGATTTTGTCAAAATTTACAGAATCGCGGTTAATTTTAAGAGGGATCAGCGGACTATTCAAGTCGGGCGAGCTGACGGCGATTCTAGGACCATCCGGCGCAGGAAAATCGAGCATTCTGAATATTCTTACAGGATACAGGTAAAAGTTCGATCGAATACCGTAACGTTTTTTTATCAATAGAGTTAAACTCGTAAAACAAGTCTCTCGTCGCTACGATCGTCATCTAACATTAACTGCCGACGTTCAACAAAATACTGTTTTTTTTTTTTTTTTTTTTTTTTTTTTAATTATCGCGATCCTCGTTGCGTCAAAAAACATCGACAGACTTGAAAAGTGCATAATTGATACGACTGTCTTTTAATGTATAAATCATCCTACGTTTTAATTATTTATAACTTCTATTTACAAAATTTTGTTTTCTTCTTCAAAGATTTATCTTTCCAGAGAAAAAGGTTTTAACGTCAACTATGAAGATGTGATTTTCCACACTTGAATGTTTCCGTTCCAAACATTGTATAATATTCCGTTCTTCTCGACATACAATGCTATTACAAGCTACATTCCAAAGTTCGACAAAAAGTCGTAACAATGTCATAGCAAAATGTCAAGAATCATCATCCAATGCGTGAATCATTAAGTAAATGAATAAACTATGAATAAGCAACATTGATAGCAACCATATTGAATATTAAGTCAAAACTAGTTTTACCGACAAGTCGGCGTTTATGCCTTTTTGTTAATTTACTGGCCCATTAATGCCCATTAATGTGCAAAGATTACACACAATTTGTTTGCATTAAAAAAACATCTTTTTCGCTTCTATTTTTACACGCAGACGCGGGAATATCGGCGGTTTGATATGTGTCAACGGTCAGCCGCGAGACATGCGGAAATTCAAAAAGTTGTCGTGCTACATCATGCAGGACGATCTGGTGCAGCCAAAACTCACGGTTTACGAGGCGATGTCCTACGCCGCCGACTTCAAGCTCGGCAAAACGAAATCGCAATCCGAGAAACGCGACATCGTGAGTATAACACGAGTTTGTTTTGCACGAGTGAAAAAATGTCGAAATCGACTTACGTACGAACCACGTCAAATTACAGACAGAACTGAGAAAATAAGAAACATCATACGTGTAGCAGAGAGAACTCGCGCTTGCAATCTTCGCTATTTTCTACGACACACAAATTTATATTTTTACTAATATCTCAGTGAACGAGAAAGTTTTCACATTTGCATCGAGAGAACTCGCGTTGTCTCGATGTGCGAGTATCGAATAACGCAAGATTCAATTTTTTCTCAGATAGACGAGATCCTCAACACACTCAGATTGTCCAAAGTGCGAGACGTGATTTCGGAATTTCTCTCGGGAGGCGAGAGAAAACGATTGACAATCGCTCTGGAGCTCGTTAATAATCCGCCTGTGATTTTCCTCGACGAGCCGACTACGTAAGTAAATACATACACATATCAGTGATTAAAAACTAAAATGATCGTTCGTCCATTCGAGATTAGCGATAAACAATATGCGGCGTAGTTTCTCTGATAAGCTTAAGTTACGAAATTATATGGTGAAGATCTCGTGTCTTGTTTAAACTCTTGACTAAGTCGATCAATTTTACAAAACATTGTAAGCTTATCTATGATTATGATATAAAAATAAAACATTATATAGTGGCGAGCATGCAATTAATCTTTCTAAGGTAAGACAAAATAACATGATTGCGATGTAAATTAATGGCTTCGAGAATATTTTCAACTCAAAACGAGAAGTTAAAAAAAAACTACATTTATAGATAGTCTGGTCTGGAAGGATTAAAAAACCTGTGGTAAAACGTTTCACGTTATAACAAATGATAAATTCACGCGCGATAAATGATAAATAAAAATGACAATATGTGCAAGAGGAAAAATACTTGACAAATTGATTTCTAAGCAAACAAATTGATAAAAAGATGAGAATAACTTAGAGAAACATTTGCTCGCTGTAAATTTTGTTTTAAAATACGCATCTCTCTTTCTTTCTTTATCTATCGAGTTTTCAAGTACCTACCAACAAATAATCTGAACAAATACACAGCACACATAGAGAGTGGAACAGTTTGGTGTTAATTTGCTCATCGTGACAAAGAGACTTCCGCCTCAAAATACATTAAACATCTTGAATCGTTTTTTTTTTCGACACGTTAAAAGCAAACTCTTACGCATTTTATTTCAAAACTACAAAAATTTCAGCTAAACTTCTTTCGGCACCTTTTTACAAGTGTCCGCTAATACGTCATGTTGTTTAAATTAACGAAAGAAAAACAGTCTCACACAATTCACATTTTTGTCGTCAATTTTGAAGTGAGTTTTGAAAGTCGCCGGACAGACCGAAAGAGATTTAGAATTGATAAACATATTAGCAGCGAGCGAGTGTGATAATCGCTCAGCAGAAATGTCTTTTTTTCACAGCGGACTAGACGAGCTGTCCTCGTCGCAGTGCATCGACGTTCTTCAGACATTGGCGCATATCGGCCGAACCGTTGTGATAACCGTGCATACGCCGAGCGCGAGCACGTTCTTGAAATTTAATCAAGTCTACGTCGTAGCCTCGGGATTATGCGTTTACATGGGTCCCCCGAATAACGTGGTGCCGTTTTTGCAAGGCGTGGGTCTTGAATGTCCCAGGCATTATAATCCCGCGGATTTCGGTGAGTGATTTATGTTGGTAACGAAAAAAACGCTGCCTTTTGTTTCTTTCGTTCCGCGTGATAGATACTTCAAACTACAACTCGCGACCTAATGACGATTTATTGTCGCGACAACAATTCTGTGACAGTTTGATACTTTTATATAAGAGTAAAAATTACAGACTGTAAAAATGATAATTGTATAAAATGGAAAAGCATGTTCCGAGCTGTAAATAAAAATTCTTGCAATCATCACCTTGACATTTTGCAACTATGTGTTGATTTCTCGCAGATTCCAGCTTCTTAGTCACTTGATTAAGATTCTTATAAGAATGTAGCTACTTTTTTACGATAATTGTAGCGTATTTTAATAACACAAAGAAAAACATGCGTAACTGCATATTACAAATCGTGATAGTTATTAAACATTAGAACGTCAACGCTGCATTTATTAGCATTAAATCTTGTTAATTAATTAGCGTAAATCTTGTTACATTTGTCCTTCTAAATGTAATATTATATACATATATATGTTATCATATATATTTTTTTGTTTTTCAGTGATCGAGACCTCGTGCGGCGAATACGGTCACGATCTGACCGAGCGAATGGTTGCTTCCGTGAACAAAATGTTACCGATCATTCCGACTTGCCGGTCCAAACACGAGTTCGAGCTCGAGATCGAGAACTTAGAAATCCCGTGGACTTATCAGTTCATTACGCTAGTGAGAAGAATGACGTGGCAATTTTATCGAAATCGGGTAATAAGATCGAACGTATACATCTGTTATGTGTAAAAAATTTCTTATCCTTTCTTATTCTTTCCTTGATCACTAATTTGAAAAAAAATTGTACAACCGTTTTCCAATTCTTTTGAAATTCGTATGTTACGAGTAAACGAACTCGGAATTCTCTGTATTCTCGTTTCTTTCTTGAAAAAAGACAAGATTATTGCAAAATTTGTATTTCGCGAAAAATAGATTCGAACTGAACGGACGCGCAAAAATCTTATATAAATTTTTTTGTTCGCAGCAATACATGTACACGAGGATGATGTTGCAAGCTTTTGTCGGATTAACGGTGGGATTGCTCTTCTTTAACATAGGCAACGACGGTTCGAAAGCACTCTTCAATTTCGGATTTTGCTTCGCGTCCGTCATAGTGTTCCTCTTCATCCCTCTCTTTCCGGTGTTGTTGTGGTGTAAGCAAAATTTGATATCTTATCACGCGACTAAGATCCGACTTTCCAGAAACACCATCTAACTTACGTTATTTAATTGCAGTTCCGTTAGAAATACAACTCATGAAACGCGAACACTTCAACAGATGGTACAAAGTTAGCTCGTACTTCTGGGCATTGACAGTCTTGTCTATACCGCAACAGGTAAGTTTCTTACGTGTGTCGCATGAACGTTTTATGTATAATAGATTAATCGTCGTACGTAAATGTCTTGCTACTGTGTTACACAAATTATAATATTTAACTGACTGCTACTACTGAGCCAGTCGGTCAGTCTCGATCTGTTTGTTCGTCCAAACGAGAGACAAGATTTTCAGTATTTTTTTTTTTTTTTTTTTTTTTTTTCAGATAATTATAGCATTTGTCTATCTCCCGCTAGTCTACTTTATCACCGGACAACCCTTGGAGTTGAACAGGTGCCTCATGTTCTTCAGCACTTGCATCGTCTGCAGCTTCATCTCGGAGAGTATCGGGCACAGTGTCGGCAGCATATTCAACGTCGCGGTACGTCGATAATTTATTCACGTATATGTTGTCGCACGTAAAAAATCTCTTCGGATAAACAATGCGTTTTGTTTGTTTGTTTTTTTTTTTTTCATCAGAATAGCGTATTCGTCGGGCCCGTGATGGCTTGCCCTTTGATACTATTTGCGGTGCAAGGTTTCGGCGATCCCACACCTCTACCGCTGTACAGATGGTTACTAATGTACTTCAGTTACATTAGATACGGAATAGAAGGACTTGTGGCTGCCATGTACGGCTACGGTAGAAAAAGATTGCCTTGTCCACTAAAAGAAGTGTACTGTCCCTACAGTTCGCCTGAAGAAATTGCGAAATCAGTCGGTACGAAACTATATAAAAGAGAATTAATTAATACACGCACTGACATTTGTCGAAATTTGTTGTTATTTTAACAGACAAACAAAATGCGATCTCGCGTACTATCAAACTAAAATTGGATCGTTAAGTGTGAAACTCGACGAATACTTATGTATAATTATCTATTTATAATTCGAATTATAATGATAAATAAATTTATAATTTATTATAAGTTATAAATAAATTATAATTATTTATAATTATTATTTTATTACATACATAATTGTTTTGTAGGAAACATATATAACATATGAATTTGTTTTAGCATAAATTTGCAATTTTTTCCAATATACGTAAACATATAGGTCAAAGTCTTTACTTGGCCCAATAAGTTAAAAAAAGCTTTAAAAAGTAGCGTCAAACACAGATGTCAGCGCGAGATATAACAAGTAAAAAAACTATCGAAAATATGATTCTTTGCTCATACATATTGATTGACTTTACACCTGTTTTTAAATTATGCATTGTTTCTTCTCCTTTCTTTGTATCGACGATACGTAAATAATAAATCGAAACTATCTCTTGTCTGTGTTCCAGGTCTGAAAACCGCTCCGGATTTTTGGATGGACATGCTCGCTCTAATTGTTATTTTATTAATCGCCAAGGCATTCGTGTATTACTTGCTGCGGCAAAGAGTGCGACCGAACAAGACCTTCCGAATGATTCAGATAGTCGGGCAATTAATCAAAACTCATGTTAATACGTAAATTAAACGATATCCGTATGCGTCTCAATTTTTGTTAAATTATAATAGTCAATAGAAAAAGTGCTCCGGTTAGCAAACTACGCTTCAAGTTTGGTGGCAGTAGATAAAGCGAGCGTGTTTATTCACAAGGTGTGTCCGCATTGCGCTTAGCTTTTGCCAGTAAGGCTAAGGTCGCAACGGACAGAAATAAATTTCACGCAAAAGGAAAAATTCTTTGTATAACAAGAATTATTCCACTCCCTTCCTTTTTATTATTTAAGTTTATTTATTAAGTTCGTGATACTGTAAACACACAGCATTGTTTGTTCCGTTCTGCGTAAAATTTAATAGCAATTAGTTTTACTAATAGAGATGCAACAATATGCATTATTTTTATAATTTTAGCACTATGGGCCGGTTGTTCCACCTTTCGATAAATCTCAGCTTACTCAACAGGTTATTATCTATAGGATAAGAACTTGACTAGAAAGTAGAACAACCGGCCCTATGTGTTGGTGAAAGAAATTTTAAATGTGTACTAAACAATTAGAATTTGTATTGTTGTTATAACGTTTTCTACAAAACAAATTATATACTAACGCAAACATAAGAATGTCTAGTGTTTTTCTATATCAGTTAAAACCTTGAATATATATTTCTTCAAGAAGTGCTGATAGAATTAAAAAGAAAATACATAGAAACTATGTTATTAACAAAGTTTCTAATTCAACATCAAGAAAAAAAAAGCACGAAGAAACGCGTTGTGGAATCGACGGGCTCAAAGTGCTTCTTTCAGCAGCACTTGTAACAATTAAATGACTGTTAAGTGGGTCACAAAAGATTTATATGTTGTTATTTAGCAACAAGCTTCCGCCTGTTACTCATACACATATCGGGTTGCAGACTTGTAGGAAACGTTCTAAAGAGCAAACGTGGCATTTGTGTAACTTTATTATTAGTAGTGCATCATACGCGCGATGAGGAAAAGCTTTGAGATAATAAAAGGCATGTTGCCTGACAAAGTTACAAGGTCCGATAACGAGTTGTTACTTCTTGGATATCTTAACAATATCGGTAAATTCATTTTTATCACTTTCCGCAATATTTATTCGTTATTGTGCGTGACACGCCACGCGTATACACGTTGTGCGTACGTACAGATGTACGACATTAATTAAATAAAATTCATTTAATATCCATCAATTGGGTCAATGGTTTTCATATTGAAATTTAATGTTTGTTTTTGTTATTTAAATTTCTTAAGCAAATAATTTTATCGCTGCGATGTGTCAAACCAAGAAAAAAGATGTGCGTTATTGAGAAAATAAAATTTGCAACAACACGGAACAGGAAATCGAACAATTGTTTTCAGTGATAAATTATTTTGTCGATAGATGCAATTAACGTCACTTAAACGGCTAAAAATATATACGTTGTGCGTTGATATCTGTGAGTACAGTTGCTCTTGCGTCTGCTGAATAATTTTCTCACAAAAAAGGAACAGATAGAAAATATCATCTTTCATAGTCGCACAATGCGAGTTTGAATAGAGAATATACCTGCTGTTCACACAGACAATGTGTATCTCGAATAGAAGGGGAACAAAGTGGTAGAGGAAATAACTGGAAAAGGTAGAGTGGGAGCGTCGAACGCATTTAACCAAGCATCCAACCGAACTCTCAGTTTGCTTCTTTCGCATGGAACGATTTCTCTTCCCAACAGAATGCGCAAACGTTTTTTCACGTTGTATATTTTTCTGATATCTCTACTGTGCGTTGCGCACAGGTAAGTGTCTCGATAGATACGCGCTCGATAGAGAACGTTTATAGAAAAAAAAAAAAAAAAACTTATCTCGAATATTACATAATTCGTCTTTTTGTCATTGATGTCGATAACTAAACTGAATGTTAGCACAATTGTGCGCACGTGAATAGGCGTCGCGAATAGAATTGATAAACGACTAAAGGAAAATCACAGTAAATTCTAATGTGTTCGACATATGTTATAAAACGAACATACACACACATGCTATCTTTTTAAATTTCTAATTAATAAAAAATTATAAAATATTGAATAAAAATAAATACGTATTTTTCACGTGGTCAAAATTGTTACTTCTACGGGACGGTAGATAAAGGAATAACTTTCAAACTTCTCAAATGCCCGTTGTTTTATTAGAAAATAAAAGTTATCAAGTCTCTTAATTTATATAATAATTTAATATAATCATTATAATTAATATTATAATTATTTATAGTATAATTATTGTATAATGATGCATAATTATATTATTTTCTTTCTTAATTATTAATTTGTATAATATAGTACGTACTAATAAATGCTAATAAAACACTGTTGCAAATAAAACAAATTACACCTTATGTGTTTCTTAGTAAGAATGACGTTTGGTACAAAAAGCACAAAAGACGACAGACATCTAACGAATTTGATATCCTGATATTTACTCAGCGATGGCCGCTGACGGCTTGTTTTGTGTGGAAAGAGAATTCGGCGGATCATACGTGCTCGTTACCGAAACACGACGAATGGACTATTCACGGAATTTGGCCGACGAAATATCACACGTTAGGCCCGCAATACTGTAACAAATCGTTACCATTCAACACGGACGCTATTGCGCCCTTGGAAAGTCAATTGAAGGAAAACTGGCTCGATATTCAGAACGGGTCAGATCCGTACGCGTTTTGGAAACACGAGTGGAACAAGCACGGCACGTGTGCGATTTCGGTGAAAGGTATAAGCAACGAATTCGACTACTTCAAAGAAGGTCTGGACTTACTGCAGACCTACAATATGATAGACGTGCTCGCAAAGGCGAATGTTCTACCGGGCGAGAAATACGCGGTGGACCAAATAATGGCAGCGGTTGAAAAGATATTGGGAAAAACGAGTCAAGTAATGTGCGCGAAAGACAGAGTAAGTCCAAGAAGCATGTTGATTACAGAAGAAACTGCGAATGACATTGAAACTTGTTCCGTTTGTTTTCGAATACGAAGAGAGACGCGAGATATAAAACCAATACTTTGCTTTAACCGGAGATTTCTCTTTCTTTCAGAAAACGGGCGAGTCTTACGTGCTTGAGATAAGGATTTGTTTTGACAAAACATTGCGACTGACTGACTGCAATGGCGTTTATGAATTTCCCACTAATTGTGACCGAACCGAACCGATAATCTATCCGAGTTACGTGCCGCATCGCTACAGTGTACAACAGACATAAATGGAGTATACAATTAAATCATTGCATATATATGTAAGCTAGACGAAAGTATGTCAAACAGTTTTAAATTTATGTATATCACAAGCACAAGACACACAAGTTCAGGACTGCGTTGTCATTAGAATTCACTGAGTTTTTATAAAATCAGAGAATAAAGTAATATTCGGTTTTTTTAGCTCTCTTTTGCAATCGTGTTAAAATATCTAACATATCTAACATATTTAAAGTAAACCATGAAAACACGTATACATACATACATATATATATTTTATATCTCAAATCTGTAAAACACAAAGAGAAAATGATATCAATTTTAAATTCTCAAATTTGTTTCGCCATTAATTATCTGAATTTTTAATATCGCTTTAGTAAAAACACTTTACAACGAAACCAGAAAGTTTACATATCATACACACGGAGCTTATTGTATTTATGTAATAAAGAATATTATTGTTAGAGAGAGAGAAAGAGAGAGAGAGAGAAAGAGAGAAAAAGAGAGAGAGAGAGAGAGAGAGAGGAAGAGAGAGAAACAGTGTGTGAATATATTTTAGAATTAACCTGTAATATACATTAGTGTTTTTGCTTACAAAAATTAAAACGCCACTGATTTACATCATTCTACCTTCTTTTGGACGATTATTACTGCCGAGGGAACCAAACCTGCAAGATAGATTATAAATAATCCTGTAAAAATTGTGTAAATAGCAATAAATTCTTAATTACCCAACACATTCAATGGCGCATCGTAATCTTCATCTGTGAACACTTTCTTAGGAAAAGTTGTCATAAGCTGGAAGGGACCACTGCCGTCTGTCCTATTCATTTCAATAAACAGTCTCACTGCGGACAATTGCTCCTTACTCCCAAAGCTTTGTATTAGAGTTTGTCCATTAGTAAGCCTAAGCTAAAGTTTCAAGACATGGAAATTAAAATACACAATCTGCGGTGCGTATTGTAAGATACAAACTTTAAAACTAATACTTGAAGTTTGGTTTCTGTGTAATCCTTCCTATGATGCGTTCCTGTGGATGTAGGATACGAGTTTGATGTACTGTCCATTGCTACTTGATTGTTACTCTCGGCGATTGCTTTAGCTCTTCTTGCCGCTTTATCAGCTTCTATCTGAGCTCTGACCCTTTGTCTAGCTTCTTTCTCTTCCGCTTTTTCGCGTTTCCTTTGCTCTAACAGTTTCTTCATTTCTAATTCTTCCAATCTGTCACACAAGTAGAAATACAGAGAGACTTACATGCAAGGTCCGTTTTATTGACATTGCTATTTTTTTTATTTCTTACTTTTTCCTGGCCTCAGACATCTCCTTTCCCGACCGTATCCTATTCTTTTCCTTTTCTAATTCATCTTTTTTCTCCTGTTCTTCTCTCTCTTTCCTCTTTTGTTTCAACTTTTCTTCCAACAATTTCAATTGTTCTTTCTTCTCTTCCTCAGTGAGCGGTTTTTTCTCTTCTGTACTTTCAGTAAAACTATCATGCCCTGATTTTGAAGCATGAAACTCAACTTCTAAACTAGTTTTGAAGAGTCTTCCACATCTACATAAATAATTGGGAAAAATATAGTTACATGCATCCTAGCTACGTAATATGCAGTATATATCACACACATACATATCACATTTCATGGATTTGGCAGTATCAGTGGAAGACACTTGCTGACTAGTAGTACCAGCAACATTATCCTGAGTTGGTGTGTCAGCAGCCAATGCTGGGGCACTTTCGCCCACTGAGGGTTCTGGAGCTGACTCTGCTTCCTCCGAATGAGCCAGTAACCTTAAATAAAATTGTGTTATTTCTTACAAGAGTTTTTTTTAAACGCCGCATCATACCATTCCATTGCCGGTTCCACGCCTTTGTTACCGGTGATCTCCAAAGCCTTTACGCTGCAACAAAATGCCATCTCAAATGTCATCTCGCAGGTTAGACTACGCGACGTAAGGTTATTTGTGAACTTACGCTTTGGACATGCTGAAACCCATGTCCACGAGGATGTCTATATCTCCCGACGACATTTTTCACCGTTTGTTGACACGTTCGGCAAACGTATCGCTCGAAACAATCGTCGGCACTGAGATTCGCAATCCAAAAGTTAAACGTCACGTCGAAGCGACGCGGTACTTTACGCCGTCGTATACTCAAGTTTCGAAATTAATTTGTGAGATGGCGACAAACACGTCAGCGCGAATTTTAAAAATCGTTCATTGAAATTTGTTTTGTGCAAATAATCGATCAAATGATCAAAATAAAAATTAACACCATTACGCGTAACAATAAAATCGCAATCAATTCAGCATATGCGACTATATACTTCGCAAAAATGTGTTTTTTAATACAAGAGAAACAAATAACATATCTCACACTTGTGTGCATATCAGACATTTCTACATATATAACTTACAGAGAGATTACACATTTACAAACTGAACCCGAGATAAGGAGGCAGTACCGTTTATTTTCACATTAAATATTGTTTACATTTAACAAAAACATCAAGCAGTTTCACACCATACATCTCCAAATACGTTTATTGATTATTTAAAGATCAAATATGTCAGATATAAAGAGAACAAGCGACAAACTAACGTAACGCGAAAACAAGATAGAAAATATAGAGAAATTACGAAAAGGAAATACGTACAACAATCATAAACTTAAAATAAGAAGCTGAAATCTAAATAAATCGGCAATTGTCCGTTAACGGGTCACAGCGTAGTGTCTTGAAATAATATGGTAATTTAGAATTGGTGTTCGACATATTATACATCTTCACTCAAGACCATTAAATGCATTTTATTGAGACGGCAATTACTATTACTTTCCAACCGGTGTCCAGGGCAGGACAGACGCACGCGACAAAATCAGAATTTTACTTGCAAATGTTAATTAAAAAATTTTCAGAATATTAAAACGATTCCTCACAGACGATTGTTAAGACTAGAAGCGTGGAGAGAAGAAAATAATTGAAAACATATCAAACGAATATAAGAAAATAGAAAATATCCTTTCAGCACTGTTGTGTTAATCTTTTCACATTCTTTATCTATTCGTGAGGTATATAAATATCCCAGCCCTGTCACAGGATTCTTATAAGAGAACGTAAAATTTGTCAATGTATCAAGAAACAAAGGCATATTTCTAAGTATGCGATCAAAGAGTTATGTGTGATATATCTAATATTCCTGTGACGCTTTGTCACCCTTTCCGGAACCACTGGTGCCAGTTTTCTTGGGTAATAAGACCGCTTGGATGTTAGGCAAGACTCCACCTTGAGCAATGGTCACTCCAGACAATAATTTGTTCAATTCCTCGTCGTTTCTTATGGCCAATTGCAGATGGCGAGGAATTATCCTGTAGAATTGAATATTTGCACGCAATATTTAATAAAACCGCATTAAATGTAGTAGAGATAGAACATTGGGAGAACATTTTGTATAGTAATATTCAGAACGTGAGAGAGATGTGAAACAACATACACTCCTTTGCTTTTGATATCAATAATATAGAGACCACTATGTTTTTTATTAAAACAAAAACAATGCTATTCGTGCTGTGAGCATACAGATTCAAAGTTCATCACATGTAGAATGACACTAGTGTCTTATATGTTGATGAGTGGTAAACATTTATATACAATTTTTTTTTAAATTTTCAAATATTGTTTTCTCTCAAATGTGTCTGTAAAATATTAAATGTAAGAAAATTCCGACGAAATAATTGAAACTTCTTTTGTTTTCCTCGGGAAAATCGACTAAATAATATGCAAATGAGTATAAAATGACTCATGTAATAGACAACTATGGCGAAGATAATCAAGGAGAAATCATTTCGGTCAACGGTATAAAGATCTATACTCTCGCCGTGCGACATCGGAGCCGAAAGTGCGAAAGAAACTTCGAGGACGAGATAGTGAGCGAACACGAGATAGAAACAGGAAGTTCGTAACACGCAGTGCGAGAAAGAGAGCGGCACGTGCAAAAGGGGAAAGGGGAAAAGAGATAGAGAGAGAGAAGAGGAAGATATATAGATAACGAAAGGAAGGGCTTGCCTCGTCTTTTTGTTGTCCCTCGCGGCATTTCCAGCCAACTCGAGCACTTCGGCCGCCAGATATTCCATCACGGCGGCGAGATAGACCGGCGCTCCGGCACCGACGCGCTCCGCGTAGTTACCTTTCCTGAGGAGACGATGGATTCTCCCCACGGGGAACTGCAGCCCTGCCCTGCTGCTGCGAGTCTTCGCCTTTCCCTTGGTTTTGCCTGAAAACACCGACCGAAATGTCAACGCGTTATCGTCGCCGTGAAGAAATTACATTTCGTCAATATTTTACTCACCGCCCTTGCCGCGTCCAGACATGATGGTTTCTCAAACGAAAGTCGCTTTTCTGTGCGAGAGAGAGAGAGTAAGAGACTACGCCGACTCGCCGACACTGAGCGCTGAAAGTCGAATGAAGCCGTGGCCCGCGCAATCACAACGGTTACGAACAGTTGCACGCATGCACGACGGATATTTTGGCGGCGATCGTGACGAGCAGGCGCTTGTTTGCGCGGGAAACGGCCGCGATTGCACTCTCGCCACGACACGCTGACGAAAGTCACTAGCGCGCGCGTAAACGTTATTTTGATCACGAGTGGGGATGTTCGTTCGAAATTCGCCTGTGCGATCACGTGATCGCGGGAAACGGCGGGAGAGAAGTATACATCTCAATGTCACAACATGACAAATAATAACTTTATGATAAATAATAATACAAACAACTCTGTAAAAACGTGTGTAAAAATTATACATGTATAATTGTTTCTTAATAATAAATTATATGTAAAATTTTCACGAGTGTACTTATACATTTTTTGAGAACACGCAACCATTTTATATATTTAATTTATCATATACGATTCTTAACTATTTAATTTATTAAATAACTACTTTTTACTGTCGCACACATCAGCAGGGAAGGTTTAATTACATTCTGTATCTCTGAAAAAAAAAAAAAAAACAGAAAAAAACGAGAATCGGCAAAGAGCCATAGAAGTTTTTCATTTTGATGAAAGCGAACTTGGTTGTGTTCGACGATATCAGTGCACCACGTGGTGACGAGAACGTGTAACTGAAAAGTCGGAACGTTACAGCCGATTTCAAACTGGCCGACTGGCCGTGTTGCAGCGTCACGCACTGACGTAGTGAAAATAGTGGCGTGATGCGACGAAATTTTAATCGATCGTGTGTACCTTGGCTTGGCATAAACATAAAGTCAGGTCGGTCAGTCAGTTAGTCATACGCTGCGAAGCGCGTGTTGTCAACGCGCTCGATATCTCGATGCGACGCACACGCACCGCTGCCGCGGCTCAGTAAGTGTTCGTTGGTCAATGGACCCTGCTCCTTGATTAATTGCCCGACGAACTTTGACCACATTGTGCGCGAAGACAATCTCTCACGCCAGTCCGCGATCCTTTGTTTGGCGTGTGGGTTTTTCAAGCGCTTTGCGTTTTATTCGCGCGCTCCGCTTCTGCTTCTGTCGTTCAACGCGAGCGTGTCACGACGAGAACCGAGCGCAACACGACGCTCGACTGTCACAGGTAAATTACACACAATGCACGATTACAAGATGACACATTTAATTACGCTCTTGCGAAATCCGAAAATTGTGACACGCGTGTGTTATATTTCAAATGTGATAAGTTTGTCAGAGAAGGTTTGTTTGAATCGCGAAATAATCCGGAAAACCGGATGCTTTTTCCTCATCGACGCATCTCTTTCGAAAAGATTCTTTTAATTGATTATTAACAACAAAAAGACAATTGAGACAACGCATCATTCAATGTTCTAACGTTATTATTTACTTCCGAATATTCTCTTCGTGATAAGCTATGTAAATTGTGTAATCACTTCTGATTTTTTCTGTAAACATTGCGAAAGTATTTCAAGGTAAATCGTCGGCACATCGATCGACTTGTAATTAAAGTCGAAGATGTTATGACACTCGACTATTAAGACCTCACACAGGTAGCAATTTTGTCGGCAAAAACCACAGAAGTTGTCTATCACGATCAAAAGTGACCAAGTTGTTTTATACGATACTTGAGAGACAAACTTTTTCTCAATAGTAAAATAAATAATCTAAAAAGTTATAAAAAAAAAAAAACTAACGTTTGGAACGTTCGGAGAAAGAAATAATTTTTTTCAAGTACTTTTGCACAATTGAAGAAAAGAGCAAAAAACTCGAAGTTCAGAAAACTCGAAGAAGAAATCCGATTTATAGTAAACAAGATTTACTTTTCCTCGCGATTGACTTTGTTTCAATTCTTTTCTTATCGAATGCAAAGGAACCGGTTTGTTCTTTTCACTGCTCGTTAATACATTTCAACGCGAAAACGTCCCAAGTCGTCGCGATAAAATAAATTTTGTTTTTACGATAGTAAACGAATTTCTTGATTATGAAAGATAAAGATATTGTATGTTTTATTATTGTCGGAACATATATATATACACACACACCGAGAATCCAACGCTTTGAAACGTAACTCACAGATTCATATCTTGCCGGCTTATTGTTAGCCGGCAACTTTTAAACATTTTTTCTCTTTGTCGTCGACCAAGAGTTCAAGGAGAAAACTCACGCACATACGTTTCTTACTTATGTGACAATTCTGTCGTATATGAATAAATTACACATCGTAATACATTGTTTTGCACCTTTGAATCAAAAAAAAGTTAAATGCACACGGTAACGAGTTCAGTGGTTCTCAACGTTTGAGAAAAACTATATACTACACGTGTGACAAACTTCGCTTTGACATAGTATCTGCACACATTTTATAATGTGCGTGTAATAATGTGCATTTGTTCGAATATGTATGTTTGCTTGAAAATCTTTTTTGTTGATATACTATCACGTCTGAACTCGGTGCCAAGAGAACGGCATCGAGCGGTTAAATGCGATCAGTGTTGCGATATAATTTTAGTGCGTTCTCGTTTCTTCTTCTATGAAAATTCACATTTCAAACACACACTTTGAACTTTGTTATTGCGTCACAGAAGTTTTGCAAATTTTGACACAACCTCGCGCGCTTATCTTTGGTGTACAAAGAACAACTTGTTGTTATCAATAAACCACCGATGTGACTCATCATTATCATTTGACTCATCGCCGAGTTATCTTCGAATTTTTTCTCATCAATCATTATATAAACGACATACTTTGAACGGCAAAAAAGGTCGCTATTATTTTACAGTCGTTTTGAGACTAGTTTTCGAAGTCGCGATGCTCTCAACAAAGGTGACCGAATTTTCCTGTCGTCGATTTCGGGAACTTTTGACAAGTAAAAATTAAAAAAAAAACAAAGAAAAGGAGAAAACTATTACATTTCCACGCGTATTTCATTATCGCACGTATGCGAAAAATTTATATCAAAAAATTAGGACGATCAAAAATCTGTTCCAACAAAATCATAGATGATCCCTTATCTCAAGTGTGTGTGTGTGATTTTTTCTTTCTTTAAAAGATAAATTTATATACGTATGTGTGTGTGTGTGTGCTCTTCCGGTTTCTATGAATTTATTTTTTTTCCCACGCCTTTAGTTATCATCGCAAATAAAGTTTATACGTTACACACACATAATATCATCACGTCCCGAGCGTTTCGTAGAATCCACACGCATATCGGACGAGTTTCGCACGACCAATGGTAGCGCAAGCTGACTAATGTATTCTACGTAAAATATATTCGGTAATGGTAACGATGTTATAACAACGCACCTCACGCACAGTATAAGATACTCCGTGCGTCATTGTATTTGTAGTGTGTGTTTCGCACATTGTTTTCTAATCACTTTCAATGAATATGTTAAAACAAATCGTTTCTATGCATGTATTTCGATGAGACATGCGATTTCTCGGAATAAAATTATTCACGCATTAACAGCACCACGCTTGAAGTGTATCTTGAGCATTGTTTTTTGTTCACAGACAAATGTGTATAATATTTAGGTTGTATGCTCCGAATATATTGCATCTATGTTATCGTAATATAATAATATGCGAGAGATTAAATTCCTCTGCTCCGATATTTCTCTTACCTTATAACCTCTTTTGCTGAGAAATCAGAATTAAAAAAAAAAAAAACAAAAACAAAATGTGCAACATTCACAGATTAAAGGGATGCTCTCGAAATGGAGCTGGATTGCTCTTAATCTCGTCATCGTCTGTGTGAGCACCGCGCCGCAAAGCGAACCTTCCCAAGAAAGCAGCATCAAAGCTTTTCTGCATCTGATCGAGTTGGAGTACGAGGATACGTGTTATTCCACAAATAACGTTCACTGGTCCTTCATCACTTCGCCTTCCGATGAGACATTATCGATATGGGTAAACACGTGTGTGATTATCGCTTGTGTTACATCCGAAAGAGTGAATGAAACTATTCGGTTTGTGTGTTAATGTCTTTCAGGAGCTGCAACAACAGAACGATGCAAAATCGAAGAAGACATACCGACACGAGATAAACAACACAACAAAGAGTACAAATAACCCGTCTGTTAATTATAAATATAGTGTAATTGAGAAACCTGGCGATGCGCTGTTACAGGATGAGGAATGGAAGAAGGTAAGATGCTCCCACTTGCAATGTTTAGAAAAGCTTTATCAACACAGAAAGACGCGCACAGACTTAAATGTACTTTGTACTTATTTTGTTGTAGCTCGTACACTTTGCCGGTGTCGTCCAGTTGCAAAAATCAAGCGTCGGTCACGTAAATAAATCACATCGTCATTCACGTGAAGGTACATTTTTACAATATCAAAGACTCGCGCATGAAAAGCAAATACAGATAATTTATCTTCAACTTGATAGAGTGCAATAAGAACTCGATACATTTCAATTTACAAGTAATACAATGCAATTACTAACACAATGATGATGGAATTTAGATGTGAAAAAAACACTTTCTTCCAATGAAAAGCCTGAAGTCAAGCAAGCTGCCTGGAAGAGTTGGTATCAGCAATTAACGCCATTAGTACAAAACTACTCGAACAATTTATTGCTGGTTGCTAAAGCTGCAGAAGAAAACGGTTAGTGTAAATAAAACACGCATTTACATAAAAAGAAATTGAGATATAAAATGTAAAATTATAGCAAGTGTACGTTAAAATTTACTGTTCGACTGTAGGAGCCAAATCTGTCGAGGAATACTGGGAGATGCTGTCGGGATATCCTAATGCGTACGAGAAAATAAATAGCGAATGGAGTCGAATTAACACTGTCTACAAAACGATAGTAAAGTTTATCGGCGCGAACTTGGCTCAAAAGTACAAGATTATTGTAAATGACACAGTTCCTGCTTATTTGCTTGGTAAGATAAGATAAATACTGCAATAAATCTGCAGATGTGCATTTTAACATAAATACGAACCAAGTGATAAGCTAACGTTTGATCAACTATAGTTTCTTAAACTTTTATTCTGGCTTTTCACTTCAAAGGTAGCTTACAAGGATACGACTGGTTAGACGTATCGCCGGATTTGCTGCACACTTCAGAGCTGATCTACGATATCAAAAGAAATCTCTGGAAGAAGGTATTTTGTTGTTACATGTAATATTTATATAAGCACACACACACTTTACATTGGAAAATTAAATAATTACTGTGAACATTTTCTCTCGGATCGCGATATAGAAGTATGTGGGACGGTCTCTGTACAAAACCGCGTCCAATTTGGGTTCGATACTGTTCAAACAAGTTCCACAGGCAGAATTTTGGGAAAGGAGCGAGTTCAATCAAACGTGTCCGTCTACCTTGTTGAATTTTTGTCAAGGCATAATGAGGTACTGGAATTTATTTATTATTTCGGACCAAGTGGTGTCGTTGAACGACGGATTATCAAACTTCAACTTGTTATTTTTCAGAGTGTCCACGTGTTCCGTAGCCAGTGTGAGCAACTTCGTCACGGCTCACAGTGATATCGGCAAGATCTTGTTCAATCAGATGACCGTAGAGAGAACTCCTGTTCTCAACATAGTCAACAGATATTCAGGTGTGCGAAAATACCTGCTCTATCAAACGTGTGCGATGCGACGTCTATCAAAAAAAAAAAAAAAAAAAAAGTAGCTCGATATTAAAACTATTTCTTGCCGTTACAGGTTTGGAAGAAAGTGTATCGACGCTGTTTGGAATATTATCCGCGAGTCCTGCGTGGCTGAATTACACCCATTTAATGAACAGCACTAACGACAACGAGCAACGTATGATCGCGTCTCTAATGATAACAGGTCTTTATGTGCTTCCGCGATTGGCCTATTATTACGCCGCTGATCTGTGGAGATTGAACGCGATTGCGAAGAACATTACCGATCCGACGGATCTGGTATCGTCTTGGTGGAACTTCAGGTATATTTCGTCTCACGTGTGACACGTGTTCACAAATTTATTTCTATTATCGTTTTCGATTTATCGTTTTGGCTAACATTGTGGTATTTAATTGTGCGTTTCACAGAAATAAGTACGAGGGAGTTTCTTCTGACGACACAGATATTCCTACTTTCTTAGACGACAGCTACATCGTCAGCAACAAACCGTATCTTTCGTAAGTGAAAAATACAACCGTTCTCTGTGTTTTGTTGCACAAGCAAATAATGGAAAATATTGCTTTGTTACAGCAAAATTCTCGGCACAATACTAGCTTTTCAATTGTACGAGTACACCTTGGAATCGAACGAAGTCAGATACGACAGCATCAACGGAAAGTTAATACAAGCTAACATAATGTAAGTTGAATTACACGAGAATAACGATGTGAGTTTTAATAATGAGAAAATTCTCAAGCGATAAACTCTGATCTGTGTTTGGATAGAAAAATGATTCAACACGGCGGAGATCAGAATTGGCCGGACGTTCTCAACAAGTACGTCGATATAGACGATATAGACGCAACTGCACTCATCTCGTACTTCTGGCCGTTGGAAGAATTTATAGAAGAACACGAGGAAGACTTTGAATACAAATCCGGTGACGCGGCAAACGACGAGCTCGAGAAACTGAGGAAACGCATTCTGAAAGAGATCAACACACCCACCACAACACCAGCCCCGACCACCACTACGAAGAGAACGACAACAGAAGCCACGTCATCGTACAAGATCAAGAGTAACGAGAAAAATATGCAATCGAAAGTGGACAAATCTCTGGAAGCTAAATCGTCCGTGTACACTCGGGAAGATAAACCGAAAACCGTTGGCTTGCCGATTCAAGATTCTCTCGACAAATCGTCACCAATCAATGACACGAGCAACGTACCAGACAGCACGCCAAAGATTAACACTAGTAAAGCGGTATGGGCTGTGAGTGCGATTCTCGTTGCGATAGTCGTCATCTGCGTCATTGCGATAATCGGTAGGCGACGATGCCGTAGAACGCCAAAAAATAGACGTTACGTTTAACGACACAAGATTTCGTTAGTGAAGAAACATAATTTATTTCTCGCATTTAGCTGTTAGGGAAAAATGTTCGATCGCTTAACCATAATTTATTGCATCGCAGAAAAGTCATTTCGTCATTTATCACTGGTCTGCAAAAAAATAATCAGTTTTCTTGTCTCACGGATCAAATTGTGTGATTTTTACAAAATCGAAGATCTTTTCTATCGCCCAAAGTTTTCGAATCGTGGAATTTTTGAGTATCAACAAAAATTGTATTAAAATATCAAGAGTTTAGCGAAAAAAATTCCAATGTTTTTTTCGCGCAAACTCTAAAAAACAAAATACATCACATGAAACACACAGAGACACTCTCGTGTGATTAGATTGTAGACCGATTATTTAATTTTGACGCATCGTGCACTCCTCAATTAATGTTCCTTGTGCTGCGTGTACTTGTTCATCTTTCGGAACATTTCGCCAAACCTCTCACTTCCTCGTGAAAATTTGTCTTTCATATCTATCTCTAGAATTACGTAGGATTTGAACCGTCGGTTGTTTGCTCGACGTTACTGAATATTGATACATCACATTTTCGACTTAAATCTCGATTTAAACTCTATCGTTCTAAGATAATTGCAACGATTTGCAAACAAATTAACACCGAACCTTTACCTCGACGACTGGCCGACACTTCCGTTCATCTCATGTTGTCTTTAGCACAAAGTTTACAGCGTTTGTACATATTTTACAAATATCGCTTGAAGAGAGACGTTCGAAGAAGAGAAACAATGCGGCAGTTAAATAAAAATGAAATAAGATTTATAACGTATACCTCTAAAATGATTTGCTCGATCATTACGTGCAAGTGACGATTGATAAGTAGTCGAAACGACTGCACTTGAAAAAAAAAGAAAGTGATTTTTCACCAAGACTTATATTTCGACTTTTGCAACATTTATAAACTAGATTTATTCTAGATATGATCACGTGCGATTTTCACTTCCGAGTCTGAAAGAATGGTGTGAGAAGTTTTTTCGAGCATCAACGAAGTTGCAGAAGGCTATTTCGAGAAATGGTTCCATCAATCGTGATGTAAGCGCTCTCGAGGAGCGCTGGTGTATCGTGAGATGTAAGAAACCGACCGCATTGAAAAATAAATACATTTAAAATTCGAAAACAAATTGTTGTTCACCTTTTCGGATACTTATCAATCTCGTCCCTCGTACGTGTGAAACTTGATAACTTCGACGTGGTACTTAGCGTATAAGTAGACTATTTTTGTACAATCACTTAGTATTTTGTCCTCAAGTATTGCGTGCTCGTGAGTCGTTCGTACATTGTAAAAATAAAATTTATATTTTTTATAAAAGCGTCTTATCCAAGCAAATCAACTAAAAAGTACACCGTAGTTAGAAAAACTATGATCAAATGTATAATTGATGCGATTGTGCCAAAGAGACATCGCGCAGTTTTTTCTCCTTGTAATATTTAAGAATGTAGTGCGTAATTTTGTAAAATCGCGCAAGAGCGAATTATAAAATGTATATTGTGTGTCGAGTAAATAAATATTTTGTCATTGAAACAAAGAGTACAACAGCTTTTTATTTTTCCGTCGTTTTTTGGCTATTTTCCTTTTGCCTCGACAATCGTTGCAGAAACTTCCTAACAAACATGTTTTCAAGGAGATTCTCGAGAGGATATCACACTTAACGAGAGAACGAGAGTCACGCGACCTTGTCCGAAGATTCGCGGTATGAAAGAAAAAATAATAATCTGTAAAAAAAAAAAAAAAAAAAAAGAGACCAAAGCTCCGGAAAAATTGTGAGCAATAGCGATGCGAATCGGCGTTGCTATTGTCTGAGTCGTGATATATTATGTCAATATTGGCGCAACGGATGCAACCGTCTCTCAAACGCAAATCTGATCGTTCGTTTCTCGACAACGCGCGCTCGTACGCGCACGAAGAGGGTGTCATCCCCTTCTCGGGAACGGACCGGTGTTGCGACTTGCCCCGCGATGGGACATGCGCGTTAGGGGCATTCACGAGGGTTGTCGCGATCAAGGGAGCGGTTCTGCTCGATTCTCCAGTAACGGAGTGACCACACATCGGTGTCTCGGAATATACATACATCCGAAAGACCAAGTGCAAATCGAGATTCGACTACGATCAGGTCGATAACGCGGTGGTTACATGTCAAATCGGGCAGTTTGACGAGGAAGATCGCGGCTTGAGCTTTTTCACCACCGCGATGTTCTAACATACGCGTTGGCTAGCTAGTGCAGGTTGCAAGTGGCAGCACGGCCATCAGCTGCCTCCTTCGTCATGAACGTGAGTATATCAGTCGGTTCCTAATATCGACTACTTTCGGCCCGCAAGACCGACGCGAGCTTCGAGTGGGCGTTTCTTGCCTTCTCTCTCTCTCTCTCTCTCTCTCTTTCTTTCTCTTCCTTTCGATTTCCGCAGTTGCAACACACGGAATTTATTCTCTTCGCCCGAGGAAAAATAACACACACTCGCCGTTATCGAGATGCGCATGATACGTCATTGACCTCGAAAGTTCTGCAAAATCGATGAGAAGAGATACTCTTTAAAAACCCGGTGACAGACGAGCCGCTCGAGTGGTTCGTCGCACTCTTGAAAGAAACTGCGACTTGAGAAAATGCATTCACGAATGTATGTACACGTTTGTACGATCGAGGACACTCGCGGACAATCCATTTGACTCCGTCTGAAATAACGTGCGCACCGAATCTCTTCTTTGTGGATTTTTTAAATTGAGGTTCTCCATTTCGCACGAGTTTTTTAATTTGAGCGTTAAATCAAGGTGGGCTTTCGCGAGGTGACAATCGCAGATTATCGTCTGGGATTTTACTTCGCCACTTCATATCGCGCCTTCGCCATTCAGCTCGCGCGCGTTTAAAAGCTCGAATAAAAGCGAATTGTTTTTTCTCTCTTTCTCGTCTTGCGATAAAAATTCGCATTTGTCACGAAATAGCTTCCGATGTACGAGATTTAATCTTGCGAAGTAACTTCTTTCTAAAACTGTAACTTTCTGAAAAAAAGATCAGCGGAAAGAAATTGTCGGCGAGTGTGTGTTTAATTTCCGTTCGTTTCATTTTGTTTGTCAGATTTCTTTATCCCCGATTGTGTGACAGATGTTACGCTAATCAGTTCCGCGACGGTCAGTTCCGTTCGCCGGCAATGCGACCTCGTCATCTTCTCGCGGGCCGATCGCGATCGGACATACACGGCGATATCGCACGATCGCGGTTGCGTCTAAAAAATACACAATCGTGCATGTTTCGATTTTGCGCGGATGTAAAATCGCCGCTTCCGGACGGGGAAAACGACCGATCATCATCATCCGCGCGACTGGAGTCTCCAATCTGATCAATTTCCAACAACTTGGAACACGAAACGAAGCAGCACACAAGTCGGTTCGCGGCTAACTTTTTCCGACGAAGTTTCCATCAAATCGATTTAACTCGCAAAAAGAAATAATTCGCGGCCGGCATTTATTCCGCGCGTTTCTCCTCACAAAGCTCTAGTCTAGTTTGCAATTTACATATATCGATTCGCGCGACAATATTCGCGTTGTCTACTCTGTAGTCGGCGATTTTAATAAACGTAAAATTCTTAAGTGATCGCGTGCGGATTAGACCGAGGGGTCGAGTGCGAATTAACATACCCTTCTGAAGCGCTTTAATCAACGCATCATTGTCTCCGCACGCAGCGTCACGGCTAACGTCATTCACGCGACCAATGTACCGCGCGGAAGCTATGGAGCCCCGTGACGTAAAGTATCCTGTGCGCGCCGATCGCCATTGAAATAACAAATCACGTGAAAAAAAAAAAAAACGCCTCCAACACTCGGATCTTGTATCAATAGAAACCGCAGGTATCTCTTGTACAATCGCTTGCTCTGCTTTTGCACACCATCCGCTAAATAAATCTAGCACGATTCGCGTTAGTGCGAATGCAATTCACGAGTGTGAATAAAATTACTAAGTCTAGAGAGTGTATAACGCGCGATTTTTAATTGCAAACTTTTGAGCGCGCGAGAACTGCTGTCATATGAGAACCGAACGATCAACTTTCAGGTGCTTTCAACGGGCATCGCCTGCGACAACGTAGATCGGATTGGTAAGTGAGAATATGTTATTTATATTTTCAACGGAGAATTTATTCATGTCGGCGCGTTTTTCTTCAGCACGACGAACGATGCGGAAGAGAAACGCGCGGACGTGCTTCGTTTGCTATGGATTTGACTGCTTCTATTACGTGTCGTATTTATTTCTTAAAAATTATCTCCGTTCGGCCGTCCGTTCGAATGGGATCAACATTTTTCGCCATAAATCGGGGTCGAACGATACCTCGAATATATCGCGTGACTTTGTATCGCAACGAGCTTATCAAGCCAACCGCGTGTTACCTACTCTGTACAAGTTAACGCGATGTCGCGTGCAAAAATCGAAACACACCACATCCACGAGAATCGAAACTCCTGCAGCGCGCATTCTGAAATGTTTTTGCAGAGAGAAAGAGAAAGAGAGAGAGAGAGAGAGAGAGAAAGAAAGAGAGAGATAGACGTTCGATAAAAAGATCGTTTTCTTTTTTACACACGGAAGTTCTCTCTTTTTCTTTCTCACGTGATGGGTTTTGTACAAACAAAAACTTAATCCCGATTTCGACGCCCGAAGTGATAAAAAGCTTCTCTAAAATCCGGTTCTCGATTTTACATCCACTTTGCCGACGAGTTAGTATCGCTAATTTGTTTTTTTGCACCGAGCGAGGATGTGTCGCGCGAGTTCGCGAGGGAAATGTCTCGGGTGCATCTCTCGCGCGAAGACCCTCGTAAAGAACGGAGGGCCGGTCCTCTCCCGGCCGATCTTCTCCTTCTCTGTCGGCCATGTATGTGTGTGTGTGTGTGTATGCGTATGTACGTACAAAGCGGGCACGAGCATTTATTAATAGAGATTAGAGTCCGCGTCGTGTGGTGCCGTGTGCAAACGCCCTCCCGCGCGAGAGCGAAAACGAGTGCACGGAGAAAGAGAGCGGCTGTGACTCAGAAGCCCATCGCGAAAAAAAAATAATCCCGTCCGGATTTTGCACGGAGTCGCAAAGGGCGAGAAAAACGTTCGTCGATCGCTCGAGTAAATCTCGCTCGGCCAACAATCGCGTCGTTGGCGCGACTCAACCGGCGCGAGAGGATCGCCTGCCGATCGGGTTTTGACGTTGGTCTTCTCGGACTTGCAGTGTTTTTTCACGGAGGCGTGTGCATTCGGAGGAAAGTGTCGGATTTTTTACGGGTCACGTCGACGGTTAATCGACCGGATAAGTGTGACCGGAAACAGGGCGCGCAGAAGGGTGTTCTTCTGTGGATAATTGCGAATCACGCGCGAGTGACGTTTCACGAGGATCTCTTGAGTTATTGCGTTTTGCGAGGCGATCTCGTGGTTCAGTTGGTGCGCGAAGGCGACAATTTATTATTTGCGACGGGAATCGTCTTTCAAACGCTTCTCTCTGCATCTCCCTTCTCGTAGAGAATTGTGTTGTTGTTGTTGTTAAACACACGTCAAGGTTTGCAAACCGGTCGAGCAAACACGGTCGAGTGCACTGAAACTCATCAAGTTAATGAGAAATTACTGACCGATCAATTGTGAATGGGTTTATCAAACTCTCTTTCTCTCTCTTGCAATTAGTTCAAGTTCAGTTACATTTGAAATTGCCAATCTCCGCTCGATTCGTCGAACATTCTACACACATACGCGCTTGTGTTAAATTGCAATGTGACGAAACATGCGTCCGTATTTTGCTAATTGACTATTTGCAGCTAACAATGTACAAAATGTATTTGAATTATTAAAAAGAAATGGACCTTCGCGAGAGAGAAAGACCTAGAGATAAATGCAGCGCACTGATATTACCGACCATATTAAAATCTCATATAAATACTTTTCACTACTTGTAACAATTTTTAACAACCTTATAATGCTAGAACAAGCAGTTTTAACTCACACATTGTTTAACAATCTAACTAATCTATTCTGCGATAGTCTGCTATCACGATCTCTCATTTCTACACATTTATGAGCAGTTTCTTGCTTCGACCACAATATTTGAGGGCGTGAGCGTACAGCAACAGATCTTACAAGCTTACGCAAGCTTCCCCGCTATGCAGCCGCGACAGCTGTGTGGCTAATTATCCGAAACGTTTGATAACATCTCGTCGACGCGCCTCTGACACAGTTCAGATTAATTGCCAGCTCCGAGAGAGAAGCTGCAGCTTATTCTTGCGCTTAACTCGAACAATCGTCCCTTTTGATGGAACATGAATGTTTTACATGTGCTCGGATCGGACAAAGGAATGTGCGGAACGAGTGTAAATAATAACGTAACGAGAGAAAACGATCCAAGATCGAAATAACAAACGTAACATATATAATACGTGTTTTTCGCGTGAAACATTTATTATTGTTGCAGCGCGTCAGAACGCGCCAGAAAGTTTCTAAGTACGGATTGCACTTTTGTGTGTGTGTTAGTTACGTGTGGTGCATCATTATTTCGCGAAACTGTGCGCGATAACGAGGCGTCGCTATCACTGAGTTATCGCGAATTCTATATCGGTGTCGCGTTACCCATTGCCGTCGGAAACAAAGATCATCAGTTTAGTCTCGCGCGTCCGCGCGGTAACCGCTGTATTATGATATAGCGGACGCCAGAGTGCGAAAAAAAATCTGACGTACCTCGTCGACGAATGATGTTAGTGCTGCTGCTTTGCATCATCATGAAGATAGCAGAGTTCTCCGTGGGCCGGACGAGTCCGCCGCCGCTGACGACGGTGTCGGCGCGACCGCCGCCTTCCTCTTGCAACAGGCGGTGGTGTGGGAGGTGCAGGCGGTATAGAAGCCCCTCGCCCAAGTGCAGGCATTGTCGTCGGCAACAATCCTACGGCGAAAAGCGTATTTTGCGAAAACGTAAGACACACCTCGAGGCGCCGCCCAAATATCTGAATGCCAAATGGATATTTGGTCAGTTTTTTTTTGTCTTTCAATATGAAAAACGTATGTTAAACACATATCTAATTCCAATTAATAAATATATCATATAATATATTCTACATGTATTATTTAATTCGAGATTTTTTTATATATTAATTGAGAAATTTGCCCGCGCGAGGAAATTCTCGTGGAAATGTTCATTTCCGGCGGTTATTGTAGCAACGTAAAAAAACATATCATCAAACTTGCTGAGTTGTAAACGATTATTTGACTTATCGGTACGTATTATATGTAAAATAGAAATATTATCTAAAGAGCGCGTACGACAAAACGAAGGCAAATTTCTCCGCTTGCGAATTTTCGAGGGGGGGTTAGGTTAGGTTGACCGTAACTTCCTCTAACGAACTTCCGCCGCACGGCAAGTGCACTTAGACTGACTTACCCCATGGCGATGATTTCCGATTCCAGGCAAAACCGCAGGCACACATGCACCGCGCAGAACTCGATTGCACAGTCTCTTGAACGACAGTGCACATTTCGCGTGCACATATGATTTTTTTCCCTTTGATACACGTTCAAAGAGAGATCAACGGCCGAGCGACTGACTGAGATGCGCCGCATGCGACGATACCGCTTCAAAACGAATCCGATGTGCTGCTCGCGAGTACACTTAGCGTCGCGCGAAATTTTAGTACTTCGTTTCATGTTTGAAAGCACGAAGCTCGCAACGAAGAGGCTCTCATTGACGACAAAAGTCGATTTACCGTTGAATGTTCTCTCGCGTTTCCGACCGTCACCCGCGCGTTCGAATACCGTCGGCCGCCATTAATGCGCGCCAAACCGGAGTGAAGTTGATCCTTTGTGCGCTTCGATGTATATAGATATAGACTATAGTACAATATAACTTTTTCCGCATCCGAGATTTAGATGTTTATTTATTTTTCCTCTTACGGAATCGAAAGCCCTCGCTTATCTCCGACGATTTGCGCGTGTCCTGCAGAAATGTTTTTTTCTCGACATGGATCTCCTATTGGCGACGAAACCTCCGTGGACGGATCGCTCAATTTTCGCATTTCCACAATTAGCGACCGACTGACGTGTCCCGCTTGGTTCGAAGGTCACCGTTAAACGGACAAGTGTTTTAATTAATCGACTGAGATAAATCACGCGAGTTCGGCGAATTATTTTGATCATACGCGACAACAAGGTGCCTCGAGTCGCACTTACGCGCAATATCGATGATCAATCGGTAACTCGTTTCTGAGACACGAAGTTTGCAATTTGTTAGCTCCGCCGATAAGCTGCGTTTGTTACAGTTTCGCAATTTTTCTTATCACGCCGAGTGCACAACGCACACGTGGGGATTGTTTCAATGCCGATCGATCTCAGTCGCGTTCACGGTACGGTAAATCATTCAAAACAAAGTGAAGGAAATAAGCGAGAAGGAAAAATGTCCAGTTACACGTTACACTCGTCGGCGTTTCAAACAATTGGCTTACGTTGCGCAACCGAGCAAAACGAGCGGGCCGAAGGTTTGGCGATTTCGCGTTTGATTTCCATTCTCCTAAATCTTCTGCTTCAAGGTTGTCGGGAGATTACGCGGACGATCGAAAGTTCTCGTGTTGTAACACACATTCTGGACCAGTGAGCTTCGAGTGCAGAAAGGTGCAGCTACGGCGCGAACAGGTCGTCTCATCTGTCAACATTGTCAACAACACAAACCGCAACGTGCGCTCGTACGTAACAAGGCCCGTGGCGGTCGTGAATTGCGAGTGCGGCGGGAGACTGTTGGCTAGCGACGAGTCATCCGCGATTACGTGCACCGCGTGTGTGCGCGGAATTCGCTCGTCGATTCAAGTTGACATGTACATTTATGTGTGTCGCGCGCGAGAGAGAGAGTACGCGTGAGTGGGGCACGAGTACGCAATACCGCACATTCGTGATGCGCGAGTTGTATTTTTCCGCGACAACACTTACGACGCGAGGCAACGATCGGTCTGCGAGCGACTTCCTCGACGCGCTCTCCCGATGGAAACGAAGTCGTCTGCGTAAGTCGAGCGCGACACGCGCTCTCATCCCGCGCGATATCCTATCCTTGGTAGGACCGATACAGAAATTTGCGACTTCCGTATCACGTCGCGTCGCGATTTCGTCGGTTGCTCAATTCAACCGCGCATTTTTTATTTTTTTTTCTTGTGTGGGAAGCAAAACTACGTAATGCGCGTGCACGCGCGTATAATCACGCACACTCGGGGGAGTGTTTATTGCGATACTCTCCTTCGTCGCCTGTGCGTGATGATTACATGCGAATGCACAATTGTCCTCGGCGACAGACTGACCCGATTTTTCCGTTAGTTGTAGGAGACAGCACAGCAGTGATGGAAGAGCCACAAACTCCTGGATCCGACTGCAATTCGAATCCGGCCACTGATTCAATCCAGCAGGATCTAGTTGGTTCGGAATTTGTTCAGGACAATGCGGAGTATCAATGGTTTATTGATTATGAGTGAGAACAGTTTTATTAATGTTTATATCTCGACACATTTCGCAATAACAATGTAATTGTAATGTACTTGCTCTGTGATGTAAACAAAAAACAATTTTCAGGTATAGAGATGGAAGACTGCACATCCATCCCAGTGTCCTCTCATCGCTATCCGCGTCCTATTCTCCCAGAGACGTGGGCTATTACGATGATCTTTCCAGAAATTTGGACGCTAATCTGGCCGAGATTGACATGGAGAGTTTTCGCACGGCGGACATTCACACTCTGCTCACGGCTCTGCCCGTCATGTGCACAGAACCAGTACAACATTCTGAAGTAAACACTTAATGCAGCGCTAATTTAAGTTTTTCATTAAAAGATCATTCTTCAAGGGCCGGTTTCGTCGTGTCTTTGATTAAGCTAATGGAAAAGTGACGACGAAACGGGTCTTGAGGCAAAAACAAACTGTCGCGAGATTACGAGACGTGTGAATGTCTGAATAGCGTACAACTTCATTTGGAATCTGACAGTTTGTGCGAGCCTTCACGTGGGAATTTCCGCTCTCTTTTTGTGCTACTTGTTTTTTATTTTTCAATTTTTTTTTAATACATAATATTCTAAGTCTGGTATGTGTTCATTATCGCTACAGTTTAACTGTCAAAGGGAACAGTATGCTAGTATATCCGGATCTGTCATGGAAAAGCTTGACATCGGTTCATCCATCAGCCCTCATACCAGTAGCCAGGTATGACAACGGCTGAAAAAAAAAATAAAAAATAAAAAATAAAATAAAAAAACAGAGTCCTAGTTGTGACAAAAAAACTCTTTATACATTCAACTAATATACTAACAATCCAACACCAGACTGCAGCCTCTTGCATGAACACAAATACATTGGCGTTAGACTTAAGAAGTGTTCAATAAATTTTCTAATAGTGATATCTTTTTTAAATTAACAGCCATATTTTAATAGACATTAAAATCTGTAGTGTCACTCTCCCTTCACACACACACACATACACACACACACAAGTAGTGTTCATATATACGATCATAATACGTGCGGTATTTTAAATGTTTAGCTCTATTATTTATATGTACTGATTGTGCATTTTATTATTCAAAGGGAGAAGATTCTGCGTGCTCCACCACCGATACGATATCCATTTGCAAGTCTTCGTTGTTGTTTTCTCCCGTGAAAGAAACGCCGATGTTACCTCCGGGTGGCAGCTACAGTGTGGATTCCCTCGACTGCGAGGACATGTTACTCACCTGCCAGACAAATAACAAGAATAATTACACCATCGCTTTCGAGGGCAGTCTTACCATGTATTCGGACGGCTCTCAGGATTTCGAGAATCAAGGTAACATTTGTGTGCACCAACATATACACGTTATTCTCACTCACTTTGTGTGCGCAATTAGAGAATAATTAAATTTATATAAAAGAAAAATCACATTGTTCTATTTTCAGATAAACAAAAGACGTACGAATCACCGGATATTTTCAAGAACAAGCAGAAGGACATAAAAACCATGTTAGATTCATCGATGGCGTGCTCTGACTCGAAGATTTACACAACATGGAGTAATTTGAAACATTCCTCTATGAACAAGGTGATAACGCGGCATCCCTCCGGCAATAACAACACACTACCGGATATCACGCAAAGCGCTGCAAATATGACACTCGGCGTTATGACCAAACGAAGCCAGAGCTTGCCGGATCTCTCGCGCGTTCGAGAATTCCAACACACCAATATACCTCTTAATTTTAGTGTAAGATGTGAATTAAAACGTTTGATCTTATTGTGCGCATTTTTTCACACGGAATTTCACGATATAAATATCTCTTCTCACAGGTCGATTCCGCCGAATCGAGCAACCACATGCAGAGATTGCAGAGTTCCGGGTCCGCGATGAGTCGTTCGACGAACGCGGAAAGTTCGGACAACGGGGAAACCGCTAGTACCAAGAAATTGCAAAATCTGAGCCTCGTCAGGAGGTTCATGAAGCAGAAGAGCATGAGCGTCGAGGGAATGAGTCTCACGTTGGATCAATCGGATTCCGTCAGCGACAACAGTAACTGGCCGATTAGCAACAGCGGCAGTGACAGCGCGACAAACACAAATACTCAGATACAACGGCAAGGAGGCGATCAGGACAACACCTGCGATCGTCGCGTGCCCGAAAATGACTTTTCCATCAATTGGATCAAACACGATGTTGCAAACAAACGCGACGCGGAAAAAGAGATTCCAAACGTGAAGTGCATGTCACGTAGCAAGAATGAAAATAAATTCGAAATAACGTCGTCGACATCGGTGGAGCAGCTGTCCGAGTCGAATTGCACAAGCGGCGAACGGAGCTTCGACATAATCAACAGTTCTTTCGACCATCAACAGAAAAGCGGTTGGGCGGACTTGGTCGAGAAGAGGCATCCGATCAGTCGAACAATGGGAATACAAGCGACCGCGGAGATGGAAAATAACGCGGCTCAGACCTCCTTGATTTTCCCTCCGCCTGAGGAAAAACACGGACCGCCGTTCTATCACGGAACGACGCTTCATAAAAAACCCGTTTACGTCGTGTATCCCAATTACACGTTGCCCGATCTGTCGTTTCTCAAGATCAACGACACCAAAACAACCAACGATAACATCGAACTAAAGCCGCACCCTTTCCGCCATCCTTTCGACAAGAACAAAGCGGAATGGAGACGCGCCGCCCGCACGGGTAGACCGTTCTCGTGCAACGACATCGACGCTTTGCGACAACGCGGATTCGCACACGTGAAGGATTGGGAATCGTTAACGTTTCTCCTTCCGAACGAATACAAGAGGATTTTGTACGACGTACCGGAAGTGTCGAGGTATATCAATCCCAACGAAGAAATACAACGACCGTTATTCTGTCTGTCGCCTCCTAGGCGTCACAAGAATCGGCATTTCGGCGAGAATGCTAGTTCGTCAACGAGCAGCACCGCAACGCAACCGTCCTCCGGATATCGAGGCTCGTCGACGATACTGACCGATTCCTCGACGAATCAACAGCCGAACACCACGGTCAATCCGTTGTATTTGTATCGTTACGACAGTATTAGTTCGGAAGCTAGTCTAATGAACAACAGGCACGGTCAAGCGAGGCAAGCCTGTCCGAATCTCCCGAAACGATCCGTGTCGTTGCCGCAGGGCGATGACGAGCCCGACTACAACAACGGAGTACCGCCGCGACCCCCGTTGCCGAGAAGTATTTTGAGGAAGAACAAGGTCCTCGCGACTAAACGATACAGCATGTTCGAGATGGGAGACGTGGGCGAACAGTCGGAGGAGCAGCCCACGGAAGCGAACAAGAGAATGTCCTTGCAAGAACCGTATTACATGAACAACGATCTGCAGTTGCTGTACCGCGGAAGGACGATCGATTCGGAGAAGGACGTCGACGAGACGGAAGCGGACAGGTATCTCAAAGGTAAAGATAAAAAATCACTTGTCAGTCTGAAGATATGATAATTTTTTCAAATTCACGCGACAATAAATTCACGCAGAAAAAGAAATCTCAAACAACTCGAACGCGGAACCGGAAATTTCTCAGCACAGCGACGACGAGATTAAGCAATTGGAAGAGTATTTGAAACGTAGCGCTATCTCGTCGCAAAGCAGCGACGGAGATATGGAGAATCCCGAGGTAAAAGTGAGATCGTACGTGAGGAAATTCCTGGCTTTGAAGATGAACAAGGACCCGCTGGTCAGGAATATTGATATGGGAGAATCGCAGAAGAAAACCGTCAGTTTTGCCGTGCACCAAAGAAACAAACATCTGAACGTCAAGGTAAAGAGTTAACAGCACAATTTCTTTCGTGCACAAACATCTCTCGAGTTCTGTTGTTCACTCAACAACCACTTTGTTCCTTTCAGAATAATCTCAATCTCGTAAACGAGCAAAGCCAGGATCAAATAGTCGAGGACAGATCGTTAGAGTTGGAGGAGAAGAAAAGTACGCGCGCGTTTTATACTCGATCTGAATTAAAAATCTTTCGAGTTGTTTTGCGTATAAATTGCTCTTATTTGCTCTCTTTTTTTTTTTCCAGAAATGATATCGTCCGTAAACAAAGCGGTTGATCTTTTACTCAAGTACTGGAACGCCGAGTCAAATCACAGCCGTTTGAATTACAACGAGAAAAATGAATGCGCGCAAATCTGTTTGAGTAACTTGTGTCCGGCTTTGTACGCGATAATGTCCGACGGCCTGAAACCCCATTTGAACTCGACCTTCGGACCGATTAGCAATAGCGTTTGGCAGGTGGTCGAAGCCAGTTCGCAGCAAGGACCTCTCACGAAAACATTGAACGAACTGGTGCAGCGAATCAACGGCGAAGACGTTATCACGGAGGGAATGTTGAAGTTTCACGCTTTTGTATTTGGTTTATTAAAGTAAGTTGGAGCTTCATCGTTTTCTTGTTTTAAAATTGCCACGTGGCACATAAACTTTCTATAAATTTATCTTGTTTCCTTTTTCAGTCTAAGAGCTTTAGACGCGTGGTTCGCGTACCTGTGCACGCGCGAATCTATTCTACGAAAGCACTACAATACCAATAGTTTATTCGTCGCAGCCTTAGCCAACACCAACGTTCGCGAAATTGTCGACTCGTTATTGTACATTTTAAATCCTCTCGCGTTCTGTCCGTTCCAACTGGATCTTCTCTATCAATATCGACAGTTGCAGAATAGTTTCGGAAATATGAATAATCACACCGTTAATGTGAGTAATTTTGAAAAAAAAACAACTTTGTTCGCGCGTCGTCTAACATTGACACGCACTTATCCGATACGCGTCTGTGCAGGCTATGAGCTTTAGAAACGCCGATTTGACTCTTAAGGACTTGGAGGGTGAGAAACCGGAACCTTGCGGAATGGTTACGAGTACTCCGAAGAAGGCGCGCCCGAGATCCTGCATCGCCTACAACGTGGACGAGAAATGCGCGCACAAAGGCGACATGCAAAGCGCAAGGAAACGTTTCAGTGCCATAAGCGCGAAGGCGTTCTACGCGTTGGACAAACTGGCATCCGAGGATTCCGAGGATTACACGGACAGTTTGGAACATTCCCCGTTAAACAGGAGGGCGGTCAAGCACCAGAAGTATTCGAGTCCCGAGTCCAAGCCGACGAACGACAACGACGGTCTGTCCGGCGAGACGAAATTCAGAAAACTCCAGGAAAAGTGGGAGTTGATGATCGGTAAAGAGGGCGGCAAGATTCAACAGCCCGCCGCGACTTCACCCACGTCGCCGGTTCGTACGTTTGGCGCGTTGGGAAAATCGAAGATACCTCGACTGCTCACGTCGCCGGTGAAACAGTCCAATAACGCGGCGACCAAGCAGATCAAGTCGCCCGTGTCGGGAATCCCGTCGTTAAAGAAACCCACGGCGCTGCCTCTAACGAAGGTGACACCGAAAAAGCCCGTGGACTCGAAAGCGAAAGATGTGACGCGTCGCACCAGCCGCGTTGATCAGGACCCTCTAGGCGGGACGCGAGTTCACACCGCGCGCCCGAGTTCCTTACCATACAAGTCGCACGGGATAACGTCCAATGATAAGAATCTCGTCTCACCGCACAGGCGAGCCGCCTCGACTTCTCTTCCACGTCCAAACACAACTACCGTTTCGAGAACTCCGGTCTCGAAACCTCCGCACAAGTGAGTATATTCGAGTCTTTTGTGTTTAAATTTCTCTCTCTTGCGTTTGCTTTCAAGGTTTCGTATCGGTTGCAAGCCATTTTATTACGTTTCTTTCAAATTGTAATCCAAGTTGTTGCGTTTTACACACACACACGCACACGTTTGTTTTTATTTCACACCTCTGTTTACCTTTGCGTTGATTCTTTCGCTTTGTATATTTTAGCCCTTTTTTCTTTTTTCTCTTTCTTTAGATCCGTAAATAACGGCTCGCGCGTCTCGATTGCAGAGAGGTCCGTACCGTCACTCACAGGATACCGTCGGACACCGGTCATCTCTCGTTTGCCGAGGGCGAGAAACTCAAAGTAATATTAGAGGTCGATAACAAGTGGTTGTTGTGTGCAAAAGGTGACCGGAGAGGTTTGGTGCCGCGAGCGTGCGTGCAAACCTAGCCCCACTTCCCGATAACACCTTCACGATCGTAAACGACGCACGCAGCAACAGCAGCAGCAGCAGCAGCAGCAGCAAATGAAATTTTATCCTCGAGTTGTAGAGCGGAAGTTGCGAGGACGGAAGCCGAAAAGTTCAAATTACATAATCTCGCGGGACGATAACAAACAATGTTGTACAGTGTATTTAAATAATTTTTAAGCCGCGTACACGAATATACTAATATCACACGCATTATCACACAAGCGCTTGACGACGTTACTTTTAGCTCGCGAAACGCGGACGCGCCGCGAGCGGCGAACGCGGATTATTTCGACCCGGAAGAGAGATTTCCATTATTTATGTTTGTATTATAGTTTCGGGGAAGAGATTCTCTGTGTATACAGAAATTATAACACACATACATACACACGCGCGCGCGTATGCACGCGTACACATCGCAAAACGTACACGTTTGAATGAGGGAGAGAGAGAACAGCCGGGTCAAAATCAATTCTGCGATTCTGCGTTGCGAGAGTTAATCGAAATCCAATTTTACGTTTCGTTTTCGTCACACGTTGTTCGTAATTATCGAAAATTTATTTTTAGTTTCGTCGCGACAGTAGTATTACCGCTAGTGACACGCCATTGAGATACATTAGAGTTTAATCACCTAGTCACGTAGGCGATACGTTTATAGTTTGATAAGCTTACCGTGTGTTTTGTCTCTTTTTTTTATTTTTATTTATAAATAACGAGATGATGTGCGAACGCGCGCGACGACGGCGTCGCGACGAGTTGTTCTCTCGACGAGTTACACAATTTATTGAGTATGTAACTGTGATCTTAGCGAATAATTTTGATCGAGTTTTAGTAGAACACACACATATACACACACACGCGCGCGATGTATAATTCGTTATCTAAAATGTTTTATATGTATGTACGTACTGACTTGGTAATTTATTGTCTAATTTCGTTTTCTTACGTTTACATATCTCTCGCGCAGGAACGACGCTCCTCCGACGATTTAATTTTTCTTCTTCTTTTCGATATATGTAGGAGCCATCATCACGGTGTGCACCTTTGCGATGGCAATGACACATTTTTTACATGCTTTATGTATCTCCCGATATACATATATATAGAGATATGTTAAGATCTACGATATATATATATATAATCAAATAAAGTTTGTTGTGCATTACGTGGCGGTGATGTTTTTTTTTATACTTAAGTATCACACTTTGTCGCATTTTTACAAAAGATACAATAATATTGGGTTGGCAACAAAGTAATTTCGGTTGTCACTCATAGGGAGCGTTGCTTTATTTTTTTTTAGTGACTTGTGTTAGTGATGTACTTTGGCTTTTGACATTTGATATCAGTCACATTGAGGTTACTTTAGAAGCAAGTGGTGCGTGATTTTTTTTGTAGCTGTTAGTTGTGAGTCAATTTTAACATGGAGCGCAGAAACGAACATTTTCGGCATATTTTACTTTTTTATTTCGTAAAGGAAAGAAAGCTGCTGAGGCTTACAAAGAGATACGTGAAGTTTATGGTGTTGATTGCTTAACAGAGCGCACGTGTCAGAATTGGTTTAAAAAATTCCGTTCTGGAGATTTTTCCCTCAAAGATGAGCAACGTTCTGGTCGACCTACTGAAGTTGATGATGACCAAATCAAAGTCATAATTGAAGAGGATCGTCATATAACTGTTCGAGAGATTGCAGAAAGGTTAAATGTATCGCATACAACAGTTGAAAAACACTTAAAATGTATTGGACTCGTTAAGAAACTCGATATTTGGGTACCGCATGAATTGAAAGAGATTCACTTAACACAACGAATCAACATTTGCGATATGCACCTTAAGCGCAATGAAACCGACCCTTTCTTGAAAAGAATCATCACTGGTGATGAAAAATGGGTCGTCTACAGCAACATCATTCGAAAACGATCATGGTGCAAGCACGATGAAGCAGCACAAACCACATCGAAAGCTGAATTGCATNAAAAAAAAATCATGCTGTCAATTTGGTGGGATTACAAAGGTGTTGTATATTTTGAGCTACTTCCAAGAAACCAGACGATCAATTCAGACGTTTACTGTCAACAACTTATGAAACTGGATGAAGCAATCAAAGAAAAACGGCCAGAATTGGCAAATCGGAAAGGATTAGTGTTCCACCATGATAATGCAAGGCCTCACACATCTTTGGCAACTCGCGGAAAATTATTGGAGCTTGGTTGGGAAGTGATGCAACATCCTCCATACAGCCCTGATCTGGCACCATCTAATTACCATTTATTTCGAAGTTTGCAGAATTCTTTGAATGGTAAAACTTTCACAAATGACGATGACCTTAAATCGCACTTGGTTCAGTTTTTTGCTGATAAGGACCAGAAATTTTATGAGCGCGGAATCATGAAGCTGCAAGAAAGATGNCAAAAAGTCATTGAACAAAATGGAAAATATGTAATTGATTGAAGATTATTCTTTGTATTAAAAAAATGAGTTTTATTTCATATTACAAAACCGAAATTACTTTGTTGCCAACCAATAATTAATAATCGAAGATAAGGAATTTATTTGTCTTGTAAAAACAAAACAAGGTGGTTAGAGGTGACCTCGCATCAAACGTCACGCGAAAAGTGTTGCGTCATGAATTTTCAGCGAAAAAGTAGAGTTTGCACGGTTGGAAACGTATGTTTGCGTGGCTCGCACTTGTTGTTGACACCGACGCGGCTGCTAGAAACTCAAATTGAGATCTATGCGACATCCGATCTGGCGACAGTCACCGATGTGTTTGATTTGATTTCAAATTTCGATTTTCGTGTGTCACACGATTAATTTCTTTTTCGCGAGCGTGTCCTTTAGATTAACCGCAACTAGTTGAGAGCAAAGGTTTTTTTTTTTTAATTATAAAAACATGATCACGGCCGATAAGATGGAGATAAATTTAACGCGGCCCATCGTGTTGCGTAAATACTGGAACAATTTTTTAATCGTTATCTGTGCAATCGCGTTATCGAAATTTAATAATCGTTATTTGTGTTTCATTCGAGACGCGCGTTGTATATATAAATCAGCGCAATTAATATTTTATGTCAGTCAATCGATTTTTTTGCGCGAAAAAAAATACTCGAACGATCAACAAAACAGGAAATCATGAAGAGCGTTATAATATTGTTAGGTCTTTCGGCTTTGCTTTGTATCGTAAGTTTGTTTTTTTTTGTCAAAAAATAATTTATGACAATGACTGATAATAAAAAGATAATAATTGTCTCATGCGACACGCTCGCGTTTGATTTTGTTTTCGCGCGCGACAAAGTAAATTAACGTAATGTTTTTCATTACAACCAATTCCAAATCTCTTTCGATATCGTCGCTTTCGAAAACGCTATCGGGACAAAAGAAAAAAAATACAAATTATTTACTCGTTGAATAATCAATCGAGGTGCCAAATTATGTTACTCGCTCGAATCTGATCCGTGAGGTCTTTGATTTTTAGGTCAACGCATATCCGTCGGACAAGTTGCCCGTGCTGAAATCGGAGATCAGAAGCTTGATAGCTAAGGTAGAGAGAGTTAAACGTCAGCTCGAGATTGAAAAGGAAATTGCTGAAGACGATGTTTACGATAAGGCGCGGAGTATAGCGAATAAGGAGGAGGACGCCTTCAGAGATTATAAAAAAGAATTGATTAGTGGAATACGCGTGAGTAATCGCTCGGATTGATTTACAAACAATCGAGAGGTAAATCTTATTTCGTACGATTGATTCGCAAATCATCTCGAAGAGACGATCGAGAAGTGTAGATCTACAAAAACAAATTTATATGTAAAATTATGCATATTTTGAAAAAGAGAGAGAGATGTTAGTTTTACATTTATATAAATATTTTTGTTGTTTCTCAAAAAAGTATATCATTGTTTTGCTCGTTTGAAGAAAGACATAAAGGAAAGCGAATCGAAGGGCAACCTAGTAGGCGACTGTTTACAACAAGCCATCACCGCCATCCAAACGAGCGAGGATTTTGCGCGTGACGCGGCTGACAAATGCGTACAGAATGCTGGAAGAAAGATAAAAAATAATCTCGGTTTTATCGACAATCTTATCTCGGTATGTTGCATTAACACCCAACGTTTGGCCGTGAGTAAGTAGCGTTAATCGAACTTACCGAAAATCTGAATCTCCTTTTTGCAGACCGCAGACACGTTAATAGAAGAATTAAAAGATGTTATTTTGGAATGTCACGACAGCGACGACCTTAGAATGGAAAGTTGCATTGTGTCTCGTCTGGCAGAACTGAAGGTTTCCGTGAAGAAATTGGAGAAAGATGCCGTTTCCGTTCGAATCACCAATGATCCTATTATCAACAATATCATTATGCAAACCACCAAGTGCATAGAAAACACCTACGATATCGCTTACATAACTTGCAACGGGATCAAGTTGGGACTTCCGAAATGCATCGAGAAGAATAACAATGAGCAGACTACGTTAGCGCCTTCATCATCGTCAGGGACCACGTCATCATCATCGACGTCAAAGAGAACCCGTTCCGACGACGACGACGACGACGACGACGACGACGATGACGAAGATTTTCACTAAATCGTTGAAAGAACTTATTGCTATTATCCGACTGACTCCTTATTTTACGAAAGAACAAAGAGCGTTTTAGAGAGTATATACGCGTTCTGTCGACATTGTGGCGAAAATGCTGCAGTTAGACGTCACGCCAGAAAAAAACACGAGTTACTTTTCTCACATGTAATCTCGTCGAAAAACAATAAAAATAACATTACACACGAGACAATTGTTATTTATTTACCTACTATCCACTCGTTAATTTGCGCTTCACTTATCGTTTTACGAAAGTACATAGATAATACATTAGCATCTTGAAACTCATAGAGAGTTTGAATTGCGCGCAATCTATTTTTGTTTCTTGCGAAATCTACAAATTATCTAATCTAGTTCGATTATCATAAACAATGTTATCACTCGGTAGTCCATTAAGACCGCCACGTTTTCGCGATGTTGTTGCACATTAATTCGATTTCGTAAGCGAGCGAGTCATTTTTTAATCTCAATTAAATTTTTTAATCAGGCTTCACGTAACGATAATAAAATCTCGATATGAATCTCGTGACCGAAATTCGCTCACTTATCGAGTAAAAAATATTTTCTTTCTCTCTTTCTCTCTCGATACGCGTATCTTTCAATTGAGTGAAAGACTACCGTGTTGTTTGTGACGAAAGCGCTACTCATGTCGACAAGTGTGCACGAATATTGCGCATTTGTGACGTCATATCTACGAAATCAAAAGTTCTCGAACGCAGATTATCAGGTAACGAAATTGCTTATCTGATAATCTGTTTGCCACCTCTTATGAAAGTCTGTTGAAATGATATTGTATCATCCTGTATAAAAGGGCGCAATTAAAAACGCTTATCAGTTTGCCAAATTATTCTGTCAGTAAAACCAACTCTCAGGTAACAAAAAGCGATCATGAATATCGCCGTAGCATTGAGTCTCTTGGCTGTAATTTGCACCGTGAGTAATTTCGCTCTTCTTTAAAAGTAGCGTGAAAATGTATTTTAAAAATATTAATTATTTTTAATAATTTAACTCAATTTTTGTCTCTCAATATTTTTACTTTATATGCAATGTAACTTTATTGCAATGTATAAAATAAAATATTATGTACATTACACATGTTGCAATTTTAAATAACGAGCAACATTGTGCACGTCTTTTCGAAATCTTAGACTTGTGCAGAAGAAAAAGATGACCGGAGCAAATTGGACAAGCTAAGACTTCAGATAAGAGACAATTTGGACTCGGTGGAAAACGACTTGCTCGAACTCGACGCTATTCGTAGGGAAAGCGAGGATGTCACTTCCGATAAAGTCATAGACGAAGGGAGGAAACAAGAAAAAGTTTTCAGGAAATTTGTCGACTTATCGGTGAATCAGATGCGCGTGAGTTATCGTTCGAATGGGTCGCACATAATCAAAGAACAAAATGCACCTAATTGTCGCTATTTTTCTTTCACAATTATCACTTAATCTATCAGATAATTTATCTCAGATACAAATTGCTCACAAATCTTTCGACAATTTTTTTTTCTTTTGATTTTTTTATGTTTCGAGCAAAGCGATAAAACACGTCGATTGTTCGTCATTAGAAAGAACTGAAAACGGCAGAGGAAAAGGACGTGGACGCGCAACACTGCTTCGACGCTAATTACGAGGGCGTGAAAGGTGTAGTCAAGAAAGCGGATGAAGATTCTAGAAAGTGCAAAGAATCGTCCTACGAGACCCTCAAAGAGAATCTGCAATTTATCGACGATGTCAAAAAGGTAGAGAATTTCGTTATTAGTCTCGCAAAAACTCGAACTTCCACTTCGTGCCGATTTCTTTCAGAGAGGAGACATGCTGAAAGATGACTTGCGCGGCATCGAACTGCATTGTCACAGCGGTGACACCAAAGAAATGATAATCTGCTTGACCACCGAGCTGGCGAAAATCGAGGAGAACGTGAAGAATTTCAAGGATGACGTCGTTAAGACCAAACAGGCCGTCGATAGCGTGGGCGACTTCGTCCTTCTGGAGGCCCGCAAATGTTTTGAGAACATTTACGACGAGGCGCTTTTCAATTGCGAGGCCGCCAGAAGATCTCACACTGGCTGCGTGAATAAAGCGATAGAGACCGCCGGCAAAACGAGGAGGATATCTCCAAAAATTATTCAGTGAACACACGCTCGTCCCTTCGTCGTTCACAACATTTTCTCAGACGAGACTGGTTCGCGGTTAATTGGTCAAAATAAGCAAATTAGTAATCAGCAACTCACGATCACGCAAATGTTTTTATCTCATATCCATAATTTATAGCGGTTAATTATTAATTATAAGTTTCGTAATGTAATGTTTAAGGGAAATAAAACTAATTAAATAGTACACAAGTATTCGTCTTGCTCGAATATTCCTCTTATCACCCATATGTTTCGCGAGAATTTTCATATACATAGTGATAAAAGTCGCGGCAGTTTATCTTCACACAAATGAATTTTAATTTTAATCTCAATCTCAATCTCAATCTCTCTCTTTATCGGATAAAGTCTAACAACTTGTAAAATGAAAAGCGATATACATATCTACTATCAATTTGAACATGACATTTCATTAAACCCCCTCTTATGTTCGCGATTAAAATATTGCATTATAAAAGGGCAAATTATGATCCGTTTGTCATTTAGTTGAGTTTTTAGAGCCAATTCGAGCAATTCTCGGACAAAATACCAATACAACCATGAAAAGCATCGTCGTAACATTGTGCTTCTTGGCCGTACTTTGCGCAGTAAGTTTTTTTTTCGTTTGTTAGGAGAATGTGATTTGCGAAAATTACTCGTTTGTTATAATTTTACTCTCTCTCTCTCTTTTCGAATCTTTTTGTCCAGACCGACGCAACCATTCTGGACATTCTGTTGATNCAAATAAGGAACGCGAAACTATTCGTGAACAGTACGGTGAATCAACTCGAGCATTTTCGCATAAAAATCGAGGCATGGAACGCCATGGATCTTTATATAATCATGCTCAAAAAGGGGAAAGAGCACCGCAGCTACGTGGAAACAGTGCACGCGGAGATACTCGTACGTAATCATTCCGATCTGCAACTAGAACTACAAATGTATTGTAACTAGCTGGATGAAGCGTGAATAAAGTTGTCTTGTTTGCATGTTAATTAGGAAAAGATGGAGGCCGCTAAAGCGAACGGCAAGGACGCGCAATCGTGTCACAATGCCGCTAACAAAAAGATCAACAAAGCCGACCGCAAAACGACCACGAATTCGATTAAATGTTTTGAAAAAACTAGAACCGATATCAGGGACAATCTCGATGTTATCATCGGTAATCTCGTCTCGGTAAGTTTCTCGCCGATCTTTATCACTACGCGATTTTTTATGATATGACGTAGCGATTAGATACGTGACGGAACAGCATTCCGGCCGCTAAACTTTCTCCGTCTTTGTGTTTTTTTTTTTTTTTTTTTTTTTTTTTTTAGGCCGGACGCGACCTGATGACAGAGTTGGACAATATTTTCCCGGATTGCTACGCGAAGGTCAAATGGATTTGGGACGCCATCAAACTACGGATTTGCATCGTAAAAAAGTTGGGAATGAGCTACATCAAGATAAGAAATCTGAAGAAAGACGCCACTTTCGCAATAACTACCGCCAATCACACGTCCGAGACCGCAGTCGAGCAGGGCACGGAGTGTATGAGCAAAGTTTACACGGCCGCGCACTCGAAGATCGACGCGGCCAAAAAGTCTGCCTTCAAATGCATCAATAATTTACAAACGCATAGAGAAGAGAATTAATAAATTTCTATTTTAACCTTCGGAACTTACTCGTCGGAAAATTTATCGCTATTGCTTATTCTACTATTTCTACCGCACTTTCTTGTTATCCATATATGCACATCCTTATATAATATATATATATAATTATGTACATTAAGACGTGCATAATTATGTATCAAGTAATTACGCAGGTCTTTTGCATATAAAAATATAATAAAAATTACCAGAAAAAAATAACAAGCTTATTCTTCATCAAGGATCTTGAGACGAATATTATTCCGCTGTAGTTCTATAAATACACACACTTAAACTAATACAAATATATATAAAAACAATATAAAGGATTTAAAATCTATGCATTATGTGATTACATAAACAACACGTTAACTCTTTGCACTCCGAATTTTATTTCAATTTCGTTACCAGCAGCTCCCAACGCTTTTAAGTATTTTATTTGGAAGTATTTTTTTTTATTTTTTAATAACAATAAACCGGTTCGGTAAGAGCATCGGTAACGTGTGCACGACATCTATTTATTTGGACATGAAATAATGTCGAGTGGGACTCGACAATGGAGCTCCTGAGATAAAAACTAATGTCGAGTCACACTCGACATAGGAGTGCAAAGGGTTAAGTGTTATATGCTTTCAAACAAACACCGCTCGACTTTTTACCTACCTGCTTTGGAAAGTTTTAAAATCTATCAAATATTTTACGCGAGAGACAGTTGTTTTAAAATTAAAAAGTATTATTTTAAATTTATTTTACTTTCGCGACCGAGTTTTTATATTTTATGATTTAAAGAGAGTATATACCCACCCGATAAAAGCGTACCATATGTAAATAGATGAGATAGAATAAAAAAAAAGAAAAAATATATATTTAAATACATATATTTCAAATATATATTTAAATATATATTTTTGCAAAAATAAACTAGAAGAGAATAAAATGTAGAGAATAAATATATAAGGAGCATAAGCCTCCAAAAAACAATTCTATATCGGTTCTTTAAGAGAAAGTGATATAGAAGTCTCGAAAAAAAATTCTATATCGGTTCTTTAAGAGAAAGTGATATAGAAATATGAAAGTAGNTTTTTTTTTTTTTTTTTTTTTAGGCCGGACGCGACCTGATGTCAGAGTTGGACAATATTTTCCCAGATTGCTACGCGTAAATCAAATGGATTTGGGACGCCATCAAACTAGGGATTTGCATCGTAAAAAAGTTGGGAATGAGCAACATCAAGATGAGGAATCTGAAGAAAGACGCCATTTCCGCCATAATTATCGCCAATCACACGTCCGAGACCGTAATCGAGCACGAAGATTCGAGGGCACGAAGTGTTTGAGCAAAGTTTACACGGCCGCGCACTCGAAGATCGACGCGGCCAAGAAGTCTGCCTTCAAATGCATCAATAATTTACAAATGCATAGAGAAGAGAATTAATAAATTTCTATTTTAACCTTCCCCCCACCTCGTGGGGGGAATTACCTAACCACGAACAGAATATACAATAATGTAATTAAATCTATGTGTTAGGCTGGATCCTCATGCAGACACCGGCGCTTTGACACCGAGCGTTGATTGGCGAAAAGCGGGTGGTAAGGGTAAATGGCAAGAAAACGGCGCTAAAGCAACGGAGTTGTCATGAGAATTGAGTTTTCTATGATTTTTTGGCGTTGAAGCGCCGAAATGTGTGTGCCACCGCAAATATACTCAAATTTTGATGTTTCTTCATTTCTTGTGGAACATAAAAATTATATATATTTACATTCCTTGACAACTCGACGTAACTTGCGTAGTTACATAAGATATTTTTGGAAAAGTTTTAGGTGTCTTAGTAAGTACCAGTAATCTCAGTACTAGCTAATCTCGGTTTGGCATATGCTCCTCCCGCGAAGGAGCAACGCGCTACTTAAGCAAAGAAGAAGAAGAAGAAGAAAATTGTATTACATTATTAAACAACTTAGAATTACATTTATTTCCATAATATATATATTATTGCAGAATTTTATTGAAAAAGATATTTGCTGAAGTACTTACTTGAAGGTTTGCCATTTTTTGCACGTATATTTATGCTAAATTTGTTTAATCCGATGTTTTAATGCAAACATCGGATTAAACAAATTTTATCTTTCACTATATGTATATATATATGTCATTATATATATGTTACCTATATATATATATATATATGTTTGTGAAAAAATTGTACAACTTGCTGTCCGAAAAAGTTGAGCTTGGTCAAACTTTTGGGTGCGCTATTGTCATTAGAATGTCACTAGACAAGTGTTGTAACTGCCGAAGATCAATTTTTTTAATTTTGTGAAAAGGATGTAAAATCAAATAGATTTGCATATCATTTAATAGAAAAAACATAATAAAAATAGTTTACAATTTAAAAATATATCTATAAAATAGGATATAAATTTGATATTTGATGCTTTCGCGGTGTGTAGTATTAACATACAAAGATGTTTTTTCGGGTTTGAACCGCGTTAGTGTCATTTTAATACCGACGTTTCGTGAACATTACAGCTCACTTCATCAGGGTTTGAAGAGCAGCCTGATAC